GTGTTTGATAACCATCAAAAAGTTCTGATTCTCTGATATATATATATATTTGAAATTATGCTAATCAAGGATCAGGTTTTGTTGCAACACATCAGCTACAAAGTCCGAGGATGTTTTGTAGCCGATATTTTCAGCGCAAATTGCGACTGTTTTCTGCGGATATCACCAGCGTCTTATTATAACCTTTCTAAGGATATCATCGGAATTATCATCAGAAGTTTGTGAGGATTATCCTACCTGTCTGAGGATATTATCATCAGAATGGACTCATAAAAATTTCAGCAGAAATTTATCACGTTACCAGCCATAAACTCTGGGGATATCATCAGGATTTTCTGATACCAGCCCAGAGGATCAGCATATAGTTTCTCAGGATGTCACATGATATCATATCACCAAAGGTTTCGGAGGATAACATCAGAATTTTACTATAGGGACCGTTTTTTTTTTCAAAATTTGAGGGCGGCAACGCTTCAAACCGTTTGGCTTTGAAAGATTGGGGCGGATGTCCTCAGACTTGTTTGTTCGTTATTGGTGCCCGCATGCCAACATGAATATGTTGTTTCTTCATGAAGCGTTTGTTCGTTTGACTTTCCGGGATAATGATAATAACATTTAGTTGTGAGAATGCTGCTCAGGATCATCCAGCGGATAAGATGCTCAGGGTCATCCAGCCGAGAAGCATGCTATATTGAGATTCCATTGCAACAAAAATAAAACTTAAATGACTATATCAACGCAGATTGGCATATAGGAAAGTGAATATTTTTGTGGTTCCGTCACTTCCAAACAGGCGATATGCAAATTTACAGTCTAATTTGTCAAAAAGGAAAACAGCAAATGTTGTTTTTCACTCTCCAAGCACTCAAAACGCATATAGCGCAATCATTATCAGAAAATTGAATAAACCTTAAGCTCAGGAATGGCAAGATCTGACAATGTTTGCGGGTTGAATGTCCGGGCAAGGTCCTGCACATACCACCGGGAAAACCACCTGCTCAATATGCGTTTTCAACTTAGAATCATCGAAAATTAAGCGCAAAAACCTTCCATTTTGAGCTTTCATGTAGTCAAAACGCTTATTGAGGGTCCACCCTCAGAATATTCGCTAAAATTAGGGTTCACGAAATTCCTTATTTCAGAATATCCAGCATCGGCATCAGAATGGCATAATCAATCCATGGGTCATCAATGACATGCACTACCAATGTCTGTCCATGCGGGACCATCCAAACGGGAAACCAATGGTCACGATGCAGAAATACTGCAACAACATGAAAGCCTTTGGTGTAGACTTCTTGGTTACGCCGACACCATGCTTCACACAGGGCAGGTCCGATGGTGTCCCACGTGGAAAGAAGCAAAGGATCCATCATGACAAAACCAGAGACAGTAGGCAAGTTCCTACGGGTGATGTTCTTGGGGTGGTCAATCATGTGCTTGATGTGATATCGAATTTCATCATCTCCCCAAAGTTTACCCTTGGCAGTGAGCAGCTCCATGCGTTTTTCACGGGAAATGCATTGGTGGGAGAAACCAACATCAAGTACTGGTACCCCAGCGGGCGCCCTCTCAGCAGTAACAGGTGCATCAGAGGATTGCCCAGGTTCATTTGGGAAAGGTTCATCGCCATCTTCACCAGTACCCCAAACCCAAGGACGGTGGACCACGGAGGACGATTCCACAAAACGCAAGTACACAGCTCTCAACCTTTGATGCACCATGTCAGCTTCATCAGCATTGGAGGGCAGCATCGAATGAAAAACCGATTGGTGCAGGAAGGACATGGCCAGTGCGCCGCATTTGTCAGATGAAAAGAACAACCTGTGATGTCGCAAAATGGAAACCCTCTGAAATCCTAGACACTGGCTGAGGACCTCAATGACATGGTTGACTTTCTCATGTGAGTGCATTGGGGCATCCCACGTGGAAAAATGCAACACCTCTCCTACCGGGTGCAACACAACAGGAATCCAGTGACCATCAAGCATACAAGCTGTGAGAACTTCGACCCCTTGTGCACGAATGTCCGGATGCGATCTGGCCCAAGCATGACACCAATTGGTTCCATGATTTGCCCACCCAGTAAGCAAGAGGGGGTCCAACATCACAAACTTGCGCCCAGCATTCATGTGACCGGCAAAATTGCCGTTCTGAAAAATTCGCAGGATCAGTTCAATGTGATGGCAAAATTCATCATCTGACCACACCCCAGCCTGGTTGTGGAGGATCACTGCTCGGTCAGTTGCACTTAGCATCTGGTTACGGAGCGCTTCAAGGTGCTTGTTGACAACAACAGATGGCGGTTTCAAATTCAGAAACTGCACATCATTGAGACCCAGCAGAGGCGCTGCTGAAATCCATGATTCATGAGCTACAGCGTTAGCATGGAAAACAACCTTTTCAGTGATGTCAGTTAGCACTGGGGCAGGTTCATCTTGTTCGGCATGAACTGGGCATGTCCAAACAGCAGTTGGGCTGATGCAACAAGCAACACTACTGAGTCCTTCACAGGTGACAGCACGATCACATCCAGCAAGCATTGGATCCGGCGGAGTTAGGACATCATCAAGGGTGACATCATGACAAACCTGTGGGACAAGGTCACTGGGACGGGGACATGAGTTGGCAAAACCGACAGACACTGCAGACTCATCTGGTGCAGACAGACATGCTGAGGACGGATGCTCAGGGACTGTACACCGAATGCAAATTACCTGGCCTGGCTGCAAGACATGCGTCATGGACAACTCATCACCCTTCTGATCTTTGGCAGAGACAAGCAAACATTCACCTGTAAGCTGCACATGGGCCTGCATGAACTGCTGAATTGTGGTGCCATCAGTGGGGATAAATCGAATGGGATCATGATCTTCATGCTGAAAAACCACCGTACAAAAATCATCACATGGGGAATATTCATGAATCTTCTCATCAGGGACATGCCAAGGTGTGGGCGTGTCATCACATGAAGGATCAGCAAACACAATCATGGGCACATCAGGTGAGACATCCTCGGCAATTGGCTCACAGACTCCAGCTGGCACAGCAGACTGAGACCTACGAATCAAGGCATCCAGGACGGAGGCAATGGTCAAGGGTTGTGAGCGAAGCTCAGGCCATCGCTGTGGGTGCATCAATTCATGGAGTGACAAGTGAGAAACTTGTTGCCAAAACCCAATCAAAGAATTGAAATTGGAATCACCAAAATAATCCAGATCCGTGGGCCAGACTTGTCGCCCTCTCATGAGCACCCATGCCATGTAGGCTTGCAGTTGCAAATCAATCCCGAAATCAGGCTTGATGCCTTTCAGTTTCTGAATATGTTCTTCCAATGTCGAAAAAATCCAACAGGCTTGAATTGGGCTAGCCATCTGTCCGGCAGCCGCAAGAGTAAGTCGTGGATTGGTGCCGAAATCAATGATAGGATCAAATCCGCATAGCATCATGACTTCATTGGGATGAATGTGTCTGAGAATGCATTCTTGGTTGTCAGTAGGGCAGGACCTAACTAAACATCCAAACAATCCCTTTTCACGGAGACGATGAGCAGAAAGCCCTGCAAGGCGGCATCCACACTGGCAAGCTAAAACCTGCGATCCCCACGAGTGAAGTGCACATGGTGCACAGCCCTCCATGTTGAGAAGATACTTACTCAAACCTCCAGTGTCAATTCCAAAAGCTTCTTGTTCAATTTCATTCAAAGACAAAGCTTCTTCATCAGAGATGTCCCATGGAAGAATCTTCGGTATCACATGTCGAACTTTGGTAACCACTTGCAATTTCGGCCAATCATACAACTGAGTCTTACCTATCAAAGGTGAAGTCAGAAGCCACCATGCTCGGGAGCGTCTCATCGGCCAAATCTCATGCAAATTATAGTCATGTTGGACACAATGGAAACCAGACATCTTCAAAAACAGTTCAATCTCATTTTCAACATATGAATTGACCGCAGCTGGTTGGACACATTCCAAAACAATGGCACTGACCTGGAGGTAAAACGCACATGCCAGGATTCCACGCAGGCACAAGGCTCTCACATCATTGCCTCCTTTTTCATCACCGAGGCGTGAAAACGGTTGGCAGGCAAAGCCAGCAGCTAGGGTGCCAGCACCTCTTGAGATCTTCTGAAGTTCAACTAAGGTTGAAAGCATTGTCACATCTCCATGAACCTGATCAGCATCACCTTGTTTCTTGTACAGGTCAAGAAAACGCTCGTTGAAGTCAACCGTAGCAACAGTGTGAAAACCAGCCGTTAACAAGCCTTGGGTCATGCCCCCAAAGCCTGAGCACAGTTCCAACACCTCATGCATGGATTCCCATGATGGTCTATAGTGCTTGAAGGAAACCGACTTCTCATCCAAACATACCACCGGAATAGGGAATTGTTTTCGAAATTCAACATTGAGCAAACTGTAAACTTCGCCTGACCCGTCCAAAAGCCCTGAGGCAATGAAGGAAGCACCATCAGACACCGAAGACAGCCAGTGCACTTCATGTGCAGGGTCCCAGCATCTAAGCTTGCCTACCAAGTTGATTCGTTGACCTTCGCTGCACTCACCAAACGCAACAGGAAGTCTCAACTCCATCACCTACAAGGAAAAAGCCAACCTGCCCTCGATCAGTAGGAACAGCCGTACTTGCTGGAAAGCGATTTGGGCCACCACGGCTTCCAAACCACCAACCAGTAATGGACATGTGATGCTGGTGTAATTGGAATGTTGCGACTTGGCCAGCAGTGACAACCTCGCTTCTTGGAGCACTAGGGCCACTAGGGGCTATTCAAATGCTATTGTCCATTGATCATTATCCATCATTGTTGGCCATATTCTGGGTCACAGAAATGGCTAGTATCCATATAGTTTCCATCAACATCTCATATAATATACATTAATCGCAATTTCAGGAACCAAAGCCAGGAGCTGTCTACCATATTCCTACCAGTTTTGCCATTGATTTTTGGCCACCAACCAATGGCACCCAAGCCTCAGCCCTGCCTCCTCGGACTCGGTCTCCGCCTCGGTCTTCATATTCTCCGCCAGCTTCTGCAGGGCCATCTGCAGCTGCTCAGGCGAACCCATCAGGGTCGTCAGGCGATGTCTGGCGCGGGGGGTGGAGGATGGCCATATAGATTGAATGTTTTGATGAATAGTAAATTGAATAAATTTATATAAATTGAATAAATTGAATGTGTCTTATCTTATCTTGGCAAGTATGGACATATTCTATGGTAAGATCCCTCATGTTTGGATCGTTTTTGCATGGTACCTTCCATTTTCAACGGTTGGGTTGCCAGAATCATCTGTACTTTTGGGATGTGCAGACAACCGTTCTCGCATGCTTTGGCCATGGCAAGGTTCCGACGGAGCTGCAATCCCAGGAGTGCGAGCTCAGGACATTGAAGGACTCAAGGTTTATTCTGATCAATACAAAGTGGGGCCCCCAAACGAAATCGCTAAGTTGGTGAACATAACTCCAATAACTATTGCTTATGATACTATAACTACAGTCTATTGTTAACGGGATTTATGCCCAGCGGGGGGTCCCACATGGTGTACAAGCATTTACAAGCAGCCCAAACTACCGAACATCTGGAGGTCTCCATTATCATCAAGGACCATCGCATACCGTGCATCGAAGAAGTCAAGAACAGTCTACTGACAGTACTGACTACTGATATCTACTGATATAACATATATTTTTATATAATATATCCATAATATGATCAGTAGTGAGTAATAGTATTATATACCTGTGAATCCGGACATAATCAGTATACAGTCCATGAATATGTCCATATACTCCATATACTGCAATATAGCTGTAAATATGTATATATACATATACACATATTCATATAATGTATCCTTGCTTGTCAGTGTTTCCGTTTGAAGCCAAAGTGGGAGTATCACCATCATCTTCCGTTTAGGGAACAACGCCCTGAAAATCAGAGCTTCAACGTGCAGTTTTATCTGGCAGGGCATTAGTAGGGTAAATGGTCAGGACCATCAGTTGGGAGGCTGACAGAGAGTAGTCACAAGACCATGTGCTAAGTGTGTACCGAAACATGCCGGCTCCACGCAGCCACTGCATCGTCGCGGATGTTGATCTGTCCATGCGGCGATCGCCGCAGGTTCAAAGGCACAAAACAAGATGGAGAAAACGTTCCTATTTGGGATGTCATCGGAAGTGTTTACATCATATACCTAGAAGAACCCTTAAGCACTTTTTTCTGCCCTCGGCGCCTAGGCAGCTGCATAGGCACTTTCACCCGGAAGTTTGCAAAACTCGGCAGATTTATATTGATGTAGGCATTTTTATCTCAAGATGTTTTTTGTGCTCCGACATCATTTTGTGCCTAGGCATTTTTACCCAGAAGTTAGGCGGAAAAAACCGGAATCTAGGCGGAAAAAAGCGGAATTAGGCGGAATTTTGTTCGAAACATTTTTCTGCACTGAACAACATGACAAGACCATACAAAAATTTATCAGCCTCGGCATTTTTTTTGGGCCTAGGCATTTATTCTGGGAATCGGCAGAAATAAACGCATACAGGCAGGTTAGGCACTTTTTTCTGCCTAGAGGAGTTTGTAGGTATGTGATCATCTCTGTCTTCTCTATCTTACGTTGAATACGATACCCTTCAATCTGTATGCCCGGGAGTGGGGATGTGTACGATATTGCATATCCAAGCGCACATGAGAATAAATGCTTACGCAGGAAATCAACCATTGTTGGGATCATCAATAAACCATGAGGTCGTTGTGATGCTGCTACAACTTGCCCAGATATATTGATTGACGAAGCAATCCATGCATCAAAGACGACGAAAGGTCTCGGGAGGATCGGTGGAGTCTTTTCAACCAATTTGCGCATCAAATGGATCAAGGACCCGTCTGTACATGAGCCTTTCTGGATCCAGGAATCAGCAAACATGGCCATGGAGTTTCTCCCATCGAGTCATGTTTCCCGGCTGAAATACCGACGCTTAAGGATGAGTTTTGCATTGATCATATCAATATCAACTTTTGGGATGCTTTTCCATGCTTTTCCCATTCACCACGAAACATATAAAACACACATGTTCGATGTTGTTTCCTCCGATTTTTCATGGTCAGGTTCAAGAGCCAAAGGCCGGCTGCGAAGCGCTGCGAAGCGCTTCGCCGCTTCGCCACGCCACGCACCACGAGTCAGTGAAAGTTAGCGCCTGACGTGGGACATGAGGATTTCTTACAGTTATAGCCCTTGACAGTTATAGCCAGTTATAGCTGCCTTAGAAAACCTCATTCAAGTGATATATATATATATATACTCCAGTTGCAGGAGTTGTAGTCCTATTTATAACATTTTATAACTGTTAAGAGCTGTAACTGTATCAATGCGGGGAATAACTGAAGATGGTAGCATAACATTCCACTTACCTTTGAGACGGGTCAGCTTTTTTTGTCGTTTTAGCAGCCATGACTTTACTGTTTGGGTTGGTGACCTATCTGAACTGGTAACTGGAAAATGAGGGGAGTACAGTGGTTAATACACATATGCTCCATGTATGGTATATGTATCTACATTTGGGTGATTTTTAGGGTAAATGTTGGGAAATGTTCCATACATGGAGCATCTGGGGTTAATATCTTATGAATCAAAATTTACGAATACTTCATATACAAACGCGTCATGCTATGGTTATTCCCCACTCAGTAATTGGGATATACATCCAAACATACAAAAAGCACCAACACTTTTTGCAAGCACAGCTTACTGATGTCTTTTTTCAAAGTTGTGACCTGCCAGTCATCCATGTTTTTTTCGTAAAAGAATCCTTGAATCGTCTATTCGTGGTGCTGTTGTTTTTGCAATCCCGTAGTAGCTTCGTTTATTACGACACAATTTGGACCGTCCAGATGAGGCACCTGGCACCTATCCTCAAAACAATCGTCACCAACACCTCGTCGCTTCCCTCACAGAATGTTGCAAATGTGACTGGAAGGTGCTGAAAGATCCTGCAGTTTCCTGGGGCACCATGCGGAGACAGTGGTATGATGGTATGGGTCAACAACTGTGATACCCCGCAAAAAACTTTCCAAAAAGAAACACAATACTGCCAGTTCACTGGAACAATGAACATTTTACACAATTTTGCTATGTTACACCCAATATCAGACTCTATAAGGGTCTTTAATCTTGACCCAAACTCAGGTGACACAGCTTCCTCGACTGGCGTCTTGGTGGTCCCACGTGGTTTCATCCCCTACATCCACCATGGTGACTCTGGAGGGTTTTTAATGTGAGGGGATGGAACAAATTGTATATAGATGTATATAGTGTCCAGCTTAAGCCTTAATCTATGCTTCCCAATTTTGGGGATACCATGGGATACCTGGGTAAATCCCAGTGAACAGAGTTATTCATACTGGTGAGCAACCCTGATTAACATCCTAAGTGGATGATTCCACGTATACGTATATGGATGTTTCCTGAAATGGAGGGTGCCCCCAAGCCATCCATTTTTGGATCCATGTTCCATGGTTTTCCAGTATAAATCTTCCATTTTGGGCTATCCCCGTTTATGGAAACCCCCTTTTTTTGTGGGTCATAACTATGGCATTATGGTTATGAACCAGTTAGGATCGATGATCCTCCATGCATCAACCGAGCTGCGCTTCCAAAGCAGCCTTGGTCGCAGCTTTCAGACCCCGAGAGACTTCCAATGCAGCTTGAAGCGACTCCGCCTAGCACTGGGGGGGCTCAAAGGGCTCGTGGAAAAATATGCTGGATTTTTTCGGTTGGTATTATTTATTGGGTTTATAAGCCAACTTATTAACTGGGCAGCACCGGCTTGATAGTGCCAACCTGCAATTGAACATGGCAACACTTTTGGATGTGAAATTCGTCAATACTTTATAATACTTCTGGTTCAAATGAGGAATGTCCAAGGCAAACTTCAAACCCGGCAAGCACAGCCGTTTTTTGTTCCCGGATGGAACGCTCAAATATCTTCACATGTGAGGGTTGTATTATATTTCCATATATTTCCTAGTTGCTGATCATTTAAATTTATCTAACCATATCCCAATCTAAATTGCTAAAAAGACAACCCCGCTCACCGAGCACAACCTGGTTCACCCATAGTTATGGAAATTTAACAGAACCCCCAGCAAATTCAACAATAGAAACTTGATAAACACCTAACAAGATCTAACAAGGGTTGATGCGGGTTGCTAACCCCTTAAACGCGGGCTAATCACCCCGGTCCACAAGGCTGGTTTTTCAGGGAGTGCTATGGTAGATTGCCGTAGATTCGGATGGGCCCCTGGGATATTTCACCGAGTATTTTTCATGGATTCTATGGTATGGCCCAGTTACATTCACCGGTTACCCTCAACATTTACCCAAAGAAATCAGCCGCTTTTTGTAGCCTCATCTTTCAGTTGTCAAATCATGTGGGTAACACAATAATAAACCATCCCCCAGTCATCACCATTTTTATAGGTTGTTGAAACATGTTTAAACCATTCCCAAATGGGTGGTTTATGGCGTTGTTTTATCCACACAGAGAACCCCGCCCTACGCGCCGGGCCTCGTGTCTCGGGTGCTTCAGCAACTCCAGGACCATCGCGTCATCGCTGATGGCGGTGAACTGCGTCAGCGCCGTGGTCATGGTGTCCGTGCTGCAGGCCTGGGATATTCCATGGATTTATGGATTTTCCAGGATGATATAGATGAGATCGTGTTTCCACTGTAAATCTTGACTGTTCATTTTTTTTTCCAACTTTTCTATCAGTTTGGGGGCGCTAGAAATATAGCCAATGGTGAGTTTCCAGCAACAGGGATATGACCCAACCACTCATATCCAAGCAGTGGGACGGACAAATGGCCCATTTCCACAACTGTGACTCGGTAATCGATGAGGAATCTGAAAATGAAAGGCTTGAACAAAAACCAATAACAAAATCCAATAAGTAGAGATTATAGCAATTGCAACTATAGTTCGTGGGGTTTATAAACCAACTTATCAAACATCAACACGGACCAACCAACAAGGTTTGAGATGGCTCCAAGACGGTCCGAGAAATAATGAACAACATTGGCTGGCAATTAAGTGTAGCCATTTTCGCTGTCCTTGTTTCTTTCATAGTAAGCATACTGGACGGGGCCAGCATTGATGTGGATCAAGCTTAGATGCGCAAAAAACCGCTGGATTACTTGGAAATGTCTTTTTGACCATGAACAAATCATTGGCAGTACCGATCCAAGCGTTCTCACACAGCTTTTAGTTTGATACTCTTAGGAACAATCTCCCTCAAAATTGTAGCGGAACTTCAAAGTCTGGTTCGCACATGATTTGCCAGTGAGCATGAATAGTTCTGGCTTCGCTTGGAGGGATATGTCAGTTCTATCCTTATGTTTGTCGCGTAAATGCAGTATCCTCCAAGGATCACTCATCCATATTTCCTCATCAAGTTTACTGGTAATTGTGTGTGTGAGGCTTCATTTGGATTTGCTTGAGGAACCCTTGGAAAACATATAAAACATATAGAACATTAAAAAAAAACATATGCCATACTTAAAATCCCCTTAAATCAGGGATTTCCCCGCTTCTAATGGGCCCATAAGCCAATCAATTCAGCAAATCCAGGTTGACGATCATGTCCCACCCGGCCCTAGATCCACCCAAAATTGTTTTGAGGGAAACCTGCTGAGCCTTCTTTTCTATCATCCATTTGGGGTGCAGTTGGGGTAATCAATGGCTGTATGTGGATATATATATATATGATATATATATGGTATATATAACCATATATCACCTATATAACCACACTTGTTGAGGTTATATCCCCACGAATGGAGGTGAAGTCACCACACAACCATCCATAAACAGAGATTCACCGGAAAGCGCACCCCCAAATCCACTAGCCAAAGATGATTGTCATTGATTATCCCAGATTTTCCCGCGATTTTTCCCAATGAAAAAGACCCGGGGGCTCCCCGGGCTGCCACGCTACGTTGAGCTCCTTGAACCCCGGATGCTCCAGGATGGCACGAGCCACTCCCACGTTGCGCGCCGCATGCAAGGCGCTGCGGTTGCCTTCCGTTGACTTTTCACCCTAGCTGGGGCTGAAACAGCATATTATTATATTATTAGTTATTTCCAATATAAAATAAAACTTTAGTTATTTCCAATATAATTATGACTATAACATAGTTAGATGTCCATTTGGTCCATTTATGTTAAGGACTATAACTGTATTGATGATGTTCGAAATTCAATGACCTTCGCCTCAACGTTCAGACCAGCAGCTCTTGTCTAAGGCGTTCACGGCAGTGAAACCCGCCGCGAAGAGCAGCTGACACACGGTGCCCGTAGCGGCGAAGTGGAGAGCGCTACGACCTTTGAGGTCCTGGGAGGGGGCCAAAAAGGGTGTACCAAATGCATGGGAAGCTCGGGTGGAAAAGTGGTGTATTATACATTGAAATAGCTCATGACATTCATGGAAATATGTATATATTAAGGCTGGTAGTATAATCATATTGTATGAACATGTAATGTCATGGAATTCAACGGAATGTAAGTATGGAATGGAATGACTGGAATGGAATGTAAGGTAATCTAAGCCAAGATAATCCAAGCTAATGCAATGATGCATGCATGCACACACAAACACACACACACATGTGTGTGTGTACATACATGTGTGTGTGTACATACGTGCACTTTTCAATCCATTCAGCCGCCCAACCAAACAACTTTCTATCCTCGATCTTGGCCAAAATGATGGAGCGGGTACTCGTCAATATCCATGATGGACGAATGAGGGTATCTGGAAATTGCTGAATTAATAAGGAAAATTGATCTCAGAGAACCAGCAAAAGAGCTACGAGTACGGGCCATGTCAGGATATGGTAGGGTTCATGATGATAATTCACCAGTTTCTAGGGGGATCATAATGACAAGAATCTTCAGTATTTCAACTGAGGCATCGCCACTATTGTTTGGACGATACTCCAATAATTTCGAATTTTAGCCCACAATTTTGTTTCGGTTCCCATCTCCCATTTTACTGAGATATTCGCAGGATTGAATCTCTCCTTAAAATACATGGCCATTGTAGATCCCACCTTTTCTCCATGCTTCTACTTGGATGTGTTTGCCGGTCAGAAAATGCTTAAGAACCCATGGATAATTGGGCCATGCATATAAAATCATATTGTATATAATTTATATACATTCATGTTTTTACATAATTCCAATTCTTATCAATAATAACTCCATTCAAACTAATCACACGCTGAGCAGTGTTAGAAAAAAATGTTTCATATTCCCATATTGGATGATGATAATATCGAATACCACGCTCATACACATATATATATATAATCAGCTATGAATAGTTAGTTAAACGAATCCATGGTTTATGATAAATAGTTCGATTCAAAGGAATTGCAAACTGATCTTCATATATATATAATGACAATATATATATATATATAATGACAGAAATATATATATATATATATCCATATATCTGGGTAAATAATAATAATAATTCACTAACCTGAAATAAAGCCATTTTTGGATTATTCCGATTCTTCCCCTTACTAACTATGATTATAGTGAGGTCGCAGTGAGGACGTTATAATTTACCTTCGACAGCTCCGCATCCCCATGCCATGTCCAGCAGATCCAACAGCTCCGAAGTCATGGTGTCCAGCGGATCTTTCAGCAGCACCGTGGACATGGCTTCACTGCGAACCAGCAGATGCACGGCGCTGCGACCGAAGGAATCTAGGCCTCAGGCCGGGAAATGGGGGTTAGAACCCATATATATATAATATCTATACAATACATATGTATATATCTATAGATATTATGTATATATATATATAATATACATATACATATCACGTATATATATATAATATATATATATATATTACGTATATATCTATGTAAATATCTATGTATATATCTATGTATACACATATTTATGGGATACAATCCTCCAACAATTATAGTTATATCTGACCTTGGTAAAACATAGGGGACGAGTCCATACTGCATCTACGCAGTATCCCCTTTTATCTTTTCTGGCACGCCCAAAAGTACCAGGTCAATGGCTTTCCGTTCTTTTCCTTGGACGCAGTAATATGGGCCATTGAACTTTTCTCATGAGTCTCTGGTCGTGGGCCTCGGAATTATGAATATGAGTTATTTCATGTTATTTTGTAGACTTATCCAAGCCACTTCGGGGTAAGTTCCCTTTGGGGTAAGTCTTACCAGTCAGCAACTGCAAAGAGCTAGCTCGTTCTGAGGTGGGCATTCTGCCGCATTCGAAAAAAGTGTGTATCTTTTTGGGTCATATAACCCAAACATGTTGTTTTGGATGGCTTCAACCCGTGCTAAAACGGGATTGGTCTATTGGTATATTGGTCACCAACAAACGCCCACTGTTTTCAGGCCCAGCAGCAATGCAGTGACGCAAAGGAAGGATCTTTGAGAATTTCAGCACAGACGCCAGGAGAACTTGCCCGGTGTAGGGCTGTCTGGCCTGTATTGTCCTGCAGATTCACGGAATGGAAGTTGGGATGCTCGAGAATCCTCCGACACATTCCCACGCTGCTGGCGTAGTGCAAACCTCGGACCCATCCTCCCAAAAAAAAATGGCCTGACTGAAAATGGGCTATACCCAATAAACAAATGCAAGTTTGATGGGACAATGATGAAGCATTCGGGTGCCCGTGGTTTTCAGATACACCCACATGTGAAAAAGACATAGCACATCTGAGTTCTTCCATGAAACATGTTTGCAAAACATGTGCTGGTTGGTGGTTTAAACGCATCCCAACAAATGTGTTAATTACAAAAACACACTAGTAAATAAACATGAAGCATAAACCATTCTCCCGTTTCTAGTCATAGAAAAAACATGAAATTTTCGCAGTAGGATGAGTATATCGTAATACTTTTTACCATTCGAAATTTAAAAAAAGGCTCCCAAATAAATACCATCAGATTCCCAAAATTGTCAATTCATCACCTGGAAAGTAGACCAAACAATTCAGCAATTCCAAATTGCGTGGTGGTCTAATGGATGTGTCTGAAAATGGTTAAAAGACCCAATTGGCCATCAAATACCAGGGACAGAAATTTGCGGTCGTGCCACTCAATGGGTCTGCACAAAAAGGTACCTCAGAATCCTCATGGTTTATCATCATCTTCCGTATTGGTGATATATATATATATAAGAATAATGTAATGTAATTTAATATAATATAAAATATTTTAGATATAGATATAGATATAGATAGATAGATATATATATAATATGCATATCCTTTTTCCAAACAGCCCCGGCATCCCTTTCCGTTGGTTGGCAGGGGACATGTGCAGCCAAATCGATCAGTAGCATTCAACGTCTCCCTGGATGACAACTCCGGGCAGCTCAACAGGACTTCCAAAACGGCCTGGAAATTACAGGACTTGGGGCCAGGGGTGACTTTTAAGGCCATAACATGCTATAACTATGGGATGTTGACCTTAAGTTGAGAGGCAATTCTTACAACTATGGTAATAAGCCTCACAATAACCATTCAAACCATAGTTATATTAACCAATATATCTATACATATGAATAGTTTAACATAATATATATATATATACATATGTATATATATATATACATGTATGTATATATATATATTTGTATATATATATATATATGTATAGATATATATGTATAGATATATATGTATAGATATATATCTATTTATACATATATAAATATATATTGGTTAATAAACACAACTTATATCCCCAACATATGGCAATCTCTACAATGGTCAATGCCAAGCCGCTGTTTGCGGTTCGAAAAAACAGAAGGCTCCCAAGGAGATGGGGAGAGTCATCTCACTTAGGAAATTGTCAACAGCAATAGTTAACATCAACAAATATCTGGTTGTGATGGTTATGATGATGGTTAATGATGGTTAATAATAATCTGATTGGTGGTTGACCTACCCCTCTGAAAAATGATGGAGTGAGTAACAGTTGGGATGATGACATTCCCAATCTATGGAAAAATAGAACATGTTCCAAACCACCAACCAGATAATCATTTATGTAGATGGATTAATTCCGTTAAGTATCCAATCAATTTCTGAAGATATAATGGGGTATGCTCGGATATAACCAACCAGATAGAGACACCACTGGGTTTTGGGGGCTTCCCGAGGTTAAGGCAACCAAAGACCATACTGATTGGAAGATGATATAACCAATGGATACACATGGTTACAATGGAGCTTTAAAGGGATTCTTATGGCTGCTATCCGGTGGTTTGATGGGGGTCCTCACGAAAAAGGGAACTCATGCTGAACGCAACTGAAACAACTGCAGGAGTGCTTTAAGAGAAACTATTAACAGTTCCTCTCTGTTGATGGCAAATTACGTTTCTATCTTTGGGAATCCATTTCCACATATTTCCACAAATCATCATGAAATATAATGCACCTTGTGTGCGGCTAGAGTCCAAACAAGGCATAAGGGGTTCACTGTAGTCATCCCCATAATGGGAATCTCGTCCTATAGTGGGAATCCTTACAATGCATGTAACATCCCAAAATTATGGACTCTCCATCGTCCAATAGATGAGCTATCATTTACCCAATCTTTCACCATGTCACATATATCTTAATACCCCTCACTGGGTTCTCCCCTTTATAACCGGGTAGTTCACGAACACCACTTATACCCAACTAACAAACCTCCTGGGCTGGTTCCGGTTCCCCGGGAACCACCGGTTCCCCACGTCTCCGTCTCCTCATTGGCCGCATGGTGCAGTGCCGTCGTATTGTTTCCAGGACCCGTCGCGTTGCCAGGAGGTCCACCCTTCTTGGCCGCAGCTGCATGAAACTTGGGACTCTTCCTGTCAGCAGAATCCCCGGAATCATGCGGATTCGACATGTTTCATGGAGGTTTACAAACCAATGCGGCTACCCCAAAGCATCGATTTTCCCATTGATCATAAGCAATCACTTAAGGATGATTTTGGGGTACCTCCATTTTCTTCCTGGTGCTTAGTAGGGAATGGATGGGAATGGGGGAATGGGATGATTATTACTGGTGATTATGGATCATTCCCGAAAATTCCCTGCTAAGCACCAGTAAGTTTTAGAGATGAACCAGCCTCAAAACTAAGACATGGTAGTGAGTAGTGATTGCTGGTAGTTGATACGCCGTGAACCCCCAGATGGGACCACAAGACGAAACAATCCACCGCTAAGAACGGGTTTCTGGGTCGTGTTTGTAACAAAAGATGGCCAATGGTACTATAGAACCAGCAACATGGTTCATTACAAATAAGTCTACAAGCACCAAGTACTAAACATTGTCAATCTTAGATACTATGATTTGTCTTTTGGCTGGTTGGGAACTACCTCAGTCCAATAACAAAACCCAGGTACTAAGAGGTACCAATCCATAAGGAGGTCGGCCAAGCTTCAGCAAATACTGACAATGAAGAACTAAGCCGTGCGAGGCCGCTGAATGAAGAGCCAGAAAGCCTGTGCACTCAAATCCCATGGAATCAATGGTGGACAGAGTGGGTTAAATATGGTTAAATATAGTCCTTGTGCCCTTAAACGGATATGAGCCCAGCAATGCTTCAATGGGGTAATTTTGATGTGACAATTCTGTGCCATATTTCAGTCCGTGTGTTTCGGGGCATTCCTTCGTTGTCCATACGTAGTTTGTCCAATTTCACCGTCACCGTCATGTCATCCGGGTCCGAAATCTCCCATCCTCACATCGGTGCCTTCATCGAGCACCCCTTCAATTTCTCCGACGCGTTCATGTTCCACCAGAGCTTCGAAGGCCGTCGCGAAACCACTGACGGCCAAGGTTCGGAGCCACGCGCCACGATCCTTCAATGAAAATTCCTAAGCCAATGAGGCCCTGATACCCTCTCATTTAAGGTAGCAAACTGGAAAAAACACCATTCTTAAAAGGAACATCATGATGGATGATTTACAATAATCACAAATCTATAAATGGGCAATTTTCCATTAGCTACTGTATGTTGACCGACCAGAGGGTATATTTCCTGAGGCTCATCAAAAATATTATGTGGAACTATAGTTAATGGGGTTAACATAAACCAACAAACAGATCAGGGGGCACCACCTTGTAGATCCTGAGCACAAACACAGGCCAGTGTTGGATAAAAACAAATGTAAGGATCGCATGTGGGTTATGTATATATATATATATTCTACATATATGCATATGCATATATACATATATACACATATACATATATACATATATACATATATACATATATGCATATATGCATATATACATATATACATATATACATATACACAGTTATACATATATACATATACACATATATATATATATACATATATGCATGTATACATATATACATATACACATATTTACATATATACATATATATATATACATATATGCATATATATACATGCATATATATATATATATACATGCATATATATATATATATACATGCATATATATATATATACATGCATATATATATATGCAATATATTGATATATAAGTATATACACAATCATATACATATATGCACATTTGCACATATACAAAACTACATATACACATATACGTATATATATATATAAATGCATGTATATATATAATAAATATACATATATATACATATATATATATATATACATATACATATATATACACATATACATACATATATATATATATGTATATATATATTATATTATATCTAGATCGCCAATTCTGGCAACAAACATCATTCACTTTTAAGCCAACCGGGCAAACCGAGGTGCTGCTTGACAGTTAGCTAACCAAGTGGGTGGTCACTTTACATCCTCCCAGCAGGGACATATCCAATCATAAACCCAGTTTGGGATGGTTTATGGCATTGGGTTTACCACATTGTCTCGGGCTTAAGGATGTTTAAGGTGTTTCTGTAGGGTACCCTCTGGTAATTTAACATAGCTATTGAAAATCACCATAGAAATAGTGGATTTACCCATTAAAATTTGTTATTTTCCATAGTTTTCTGTATGTTTACCAGAGGGTAACTAGGGGGCCCCTGTGGTAACCACACCCAAGAATGCGTCTGCTGAAGTGATGTGCCCGAGAACAGGGTGATGGTTGAAGCCGCTTGGACGGTGGGGAATACCATGGGGATACGACCAACAGATTGCAGAATTCTAGGGTTGTAAGGGATTTTCCTGGCCGATTCCAGGGGGTTCATCCCAGCGTGGCAAGAGGCCAAGTCGGCAAAGTCTGGATGGTAAACGATTTCCAAAGCAACCTGGAGTTGGAAAGCTTGGTCTTGGCGCTTCTCGCAGCTGAAGGTCGTGTTTGTTTTGCTGGTTGGTGGTTGACCTACCCCTCTGAAAAATATGAAAGTCAGTTGGGATGATTATTCCATATTATTCCCATATATATGGGAAAATCAAAAATGTTCCAAACCAAAAACTAGTTTGGGACAACCTTGAAATACCAGCTCTTGGACTATGGTAAAACTCCTTTTCTGCCTACTTGTTACCAGTGTTTCAGCACATTGAAGTCAGTGTGTTTGGTAAGTTCGACATATCTGTATATATTTCCAATCTTTAAGCGCACAACAAAGTTTGTCTGAAAATGGGGCAATCACTCCGATCCCCAGATTGAGCAACATGTTCCCTACTAAGCTTCAAAAAAAATGCCAAAATATCCAAATGAATTACATATAGTTATAAATAAATTAAACACACACATCAATATTATATATTCAAAATATATCCGAATTCTGCTGTTTAATTTATTTCCATCTTTATTGGTTAATCCCTGTTCTGGATGGTTAAATCCATTTCCTCAGGGATTCCGTCCATACCCCGTGGCGGAACGGCCAGAGAAACATTGGGCTCTTCCATTCTCACAGCTTCTGAGAGAAGAACATTCAACTCCAGGGCGGTCTCGCCATGTCCAAGTTCCTTTCGAAACCTGGCTGCGTCGCAGAACTGCAAGCGAAGCACTGGGAATTGGAACATTCAAACAGAAATCTAGCTGGATCGAGCCGAGCTGCGACTTCTGGAAAAAGAAACATGAACAAAAGGAGTAGCAACCAAACATATCATGTCGAGCCCTGATATGTCGTTCTTGATGCCAGAAAAAAAAGTGCCCCCCTGAAATCCGAGCGATGAATTTACATCTGCGAAACCTTCTTTGCTTCCATCTTAGGATTTTTCATGGGATGCCCATCGATCCAACACACGTGACACATCGCCACTGAGCCGCTGTTCCAACGTCATCCGCGGCTGTCGCAAGACCTGAAGCTCCGCAGCTTCCTGTGAGATCTGGAGGAAGGGCTTGGCTTGGTCATCTAAGATCGCCGTGCCATGCAGAAGCCTCGCAACAACAACGGCCACACTGGGCTGGTGGTGCCTGGTGCCTTGCGAAAAACTTGTCGATTCTGGTTGAATATGCAACTTTCTGAATCGCAGCTGGTTGATTTCTTGGGATTCCCCATGTTTCACATTCCGTTCGCAAACCACGAAATTGTGCAATCCAGAGAAACACAACAAAGGTTGGAAGCATTGATCAAATGTATCTCAGGGTTGAGTCAATGAATAAACAATATCCCGAAATCGGACACATGCAAGTTTTGTACCCTCTGTTAACCAAATATAGCCATCAAAAACCAGCATTTTGAAATATGTTAAATAGGATTGAATAGTTAACATGTCTGAGGCGCATAGGTTGCTGCTCCTCTAGTTGATGAACTCCCAAAACCCCCAAAGTGCCTTTGCTCCAGGAAGGGAATTCCCATCTCATCCTCCAAGATCTTCTTGGCCTTAGAGATAGGTGAAATATCCTATGTGTTCTTTGCTTCGAAGGTTAAACATCTCACTCAATTCCCTGTTTTCTATAGTTGAATCAATGTTAAGTCTCCATTCACCATAGTAAGTCTATGTAAAACAAGCATTTTAGATGGTTTGCACAAACATGATCCCCAACATGGACATTATAACAGATTTTATTTTGCAAAACCAAAATAAATATAAGTAAACAGTACGCATATGTATATATATAATATAGGTATGGAGTAGCACATTTTCAGACCTAACATTGTTGCTTCTACAGTGTATACATATATAATTAATTGTATATTCAAATGCAATATATGCAATAACATCGCATCCAAACGCAAAACATTGGGAATCAGTTTGGCTAAGTAGAGAGTTTGTGGACGATATAGCTACAATTAAATTGCATCCCGTAAACAAAAGCAATAAACACAACTATATAGTTATCATATTATCATCATTATAAAGTACTGTAGTTATTCAAAAAACAAAATCCCATAAAACCAAATGACATATCATCCACTCTGTATGGATCTATTCGCCTCGGATGATCCAACATTCCATGGGTTCTGACTGTGAGAACAACACTCTAAACCCTCCATGGCTGATATTCCCATTGTATCAAACCATGCTATATATATATATATTATGTATTCCACTATATTCCATAACATCCCATTCAAATGCCAAACATTGGGAATAAACTTGGCTAACTATAGAGCTTATGGAGGACATAACTATAACTAATGAATATCCCACGAATACCATACAGTTATGGCCTAACGAACAGTTATCAATGTACATATAACTTCTATAACTAGTTGGTTGTCATGAAACCCATGATTAGACAATGTAACTTTCAATTCATGGCCGTAACTGTGCTATAACTATACTTACCCATGTTACACATATCATCCAATCCCTCCGTCCTCCAAGACCGAGGCGTTCTGCGGAAGCTGCAGCAGCTTCTGCTCGCCCGCCATGCTCCGGAAGGCCACCTCCACCAGCTCCGTCGTCATGGCGCGGGTTGGACGAACAAACGACGACGCGGCGGCCAATGACACGGGGGCAACGGGGGCGAAATGAGCCAAAGCTGGAAGAAAATGACAGAAAATGTGGTGAGAAGTTGGGAAAGGTTTGAAATATGCATGTCAAGTGAAGCTATTGGGGTTGGAATAGAAAAATGGAGTGTTTCTGAAACTGAGATGGGGGATGTGAAGCAAAGAATTAGGATGATCTCTCGCGGTCAGCCACTGTCCTTGGTGGTCCAGTTTTGGACAAACCTCTTCAAACTAATGACCATCTATGAGGGACGCTTGTTTGAAGCTTTGCCAGATGTCTGATGTCCAAAGGACTCTCAAAATCCGGACAAACAAATGAAGTAATGTTCCAAATGCATCCACATGCTACAGGCATTTTGATGATATGCCTATGCCACACACACACACACCATGAGTTGTTTTTTTCACCCCTGTGGCCTCTTAGCCATTGACGTCAAGTCATGTATTTTCCCACGCAGTGCTGGGGCTGTGTCCCCAATCCAACCCAACCCAGCAACAACCTATAACTATGTCCTATCGAGACCCATGTGATGTACAAAAACTTAGTATATCAATCTGGCACCCAACTGTCTCCCGCTCAGAAGGGTTTGAGATTCTAAATGGATGGTTGGTAACGCCAAGCAGGAGTGTTTTTTGGAGACGAACACAAACTATGTGCACGATCTGCACGTAGTTAATTTTCTCAACCTTTGATAGATACATATTGATGGCACACCAATATATATATATATTATGTAGATATAACTTATAGTATTTTAGGTCGGTCATCCAGTTTCTTGCTATTTCTCCAAACAAACATGCGTTACCAACAAGACATGGATTAGAAAACATGATTTCTTTGGTGAAAACAGTGTCCCCTGCCTTTGCTGAATGATACAATAAGGGAATGGTCCGATAGCTCACTTGTTGAGCATGACTACAATCAGTAGGGTTTATGAATGTTTATGGGGGATGTGTCTACAGTTAGATGGGGATATAAACCACCTTACAACTATATCTATATATATATATATAAGTACTTCAATGGCGTTCAAAACCAACAATGTAACAAACATCATGTTTGGGGTCTCCATTGTGTAGTCTTGTAGCTTAGATTTGCTTAGGCATACATCCTAAACCTAAAGGTTTGGCCATGTGTTTTTCAGGTCCCAGAAACACCAATTTCGCAAGAACATTGGACATGATTACAAGTGGTCTACAGTGTTCTACTCAACTATAAAGTGTTATTGCGTAGATCTGGTCGTGGTACTACAACAAATGTCATCATTACTGCAAGAATAAACATAGGTAAATCATCTAGAAATGGGCCGTGTTCAATAGCTATGTTAGTTTACCAGGGATATCAGGGGCTAGTTACCATTAAATCACATCAAATAATTTAGCGCATTATAAATACTATCATTCTGTTGGTTAGGTTCGTATGTGTATATATTTAAAAATATTGCACGTTTAAAATAATTATAACAATAATATTAGCAATAATAATAATATGTATATATATATATATAACCGAACCAAGGTTCACCCGGATAGGCTTCGGGCTGAAGCGAAAAGCGTGCCTTGCAGCCGCTGTCCCGTCGCAGTTCCTTGATGTTGGCACCCTGGCTGCCGATCAGCAGCCCGGTCCTCGGAACTGGCGCCTTGTTATGGTTCAACATGGCGAATGATTGGAACCATTAAACATAGTTATGAGTTATAGCTATACCAGAGTTATTGTTTTTTCGTTATAAGTATAATAAACATAGCGATTGGAAATGGTCATTTATAGTTGATTTACCCATTAAAAATGGTGACTGTCCATAGTTATGTAAACGTTTACCAGAGGGTAGCATAGCTAAGTGGGTGAAGATCATTCCAATAACTCTGGTTTATGATACGCAAATAACAAACTATAGTTAATGGTGATGATTGCTAAATAGCAACCCGCCAAAAAATGCAGAAAAGTGAGACACCTGTGGAAATATGCGGCAAATGTCATCTAATCTGCATCCTGGAAACACGTTGCAGAATCTTTTGGGGGGGTACTATAGAGTAAGCATAGTTTGACATGCAGTAATGTAACGATTATTATCATTATCATTCTGTGCTAAAATGATATCATTGTCATTAGAATCGTGAACGTCAGCATGATCATCATGATCATCATGATCATGATCATCATGATCATCATCATCATGATTGTCATTAGTATCATGACCATCAACATTGTAATGATTATCGTAAGCAAGTAATGACAACAAAGGCCATCAACACTACATATTACACCATATATCTGTAAAGACCCTTCATCGTTGTCAAATGAAACCATGCAAATCAATGCTCTATACAACCCACACGCTCCATCAAAACCCACGTCAGGTATACTGACATTTACAGAAACAAATCATAAACATGTATGGAGCATAAACCTAGATTTGAAAATGATGGCTTTAGACCCACATAATTGCGATAATTTTACAGAATGAAATTATGATTTCGTGTTGTTTTTTCAAACAATGCAAACGGGTACCCTACTATAAAGTAGCATATATGGGGACAACCTACCATTCTTGGATCATCTTGGATCATATTCCTAGGAAAACTATGGCCTTTTCCACGTGGTGAATTGTCGCCGTCCCTCGTCTCGTCTCAGGGTTCCCAGCATTTCTCTTGAAAGGACCAGGCGCAGTATCAGCTCACCTGGTGCCAAAAACAGCTACACCAAAGAACATTAGCCACCTTATGGATCCTGATGGTATAATAAAATCTGGTTGGTGGTTGAGCCACCCTCTGAAAAATATGAATTCGTCAGTTGGGATGATGAAATTCCCAATATATGGAAAACTAAGAAATGTTCCAAACCACCAACCAGTAATGGAATGATATGTATGATATGGGAACATTGACCATCCCCTAAGAAACTTATGCTCCATGTATGATATGGAATTCGTATATAATGACATATGGGTAAATATGGTCAATGATGTATTTTGCCATACACGCAGCGTGAAGATCTATGTACCGAGAAAAAAACAACTAGTACAGTAATCTGCAAAATGGGTGCTGAGACGATAAACACCTACTAAATTCTTGGGACCGCGAGCTCGCTTTTCTTAAAGGAACATCCGCATTTTGACGCTTACATCCCCATTTCGACTGGCATAATATCAACGGTAATTGGATGTTTACCAATGATATCTCCCCATCCGAGAAAAGCATATGGATTGGACGAGGTGGTGCCCCTATATTGAAAGATGTTTAAATATATATATATATATATTGCACCCAATTAGATGTGTCCACCATAAACCCGCCAACTATAGAACCAACTTTTCTAACTATAAATCAAGTATAACTCCCAGTTTTACTGGCTTGAGTTCCCCATGATCCGTCATCTTTGATGGTGAAATCACCATTTTCCCATATCTTGTTCCTGGTGAAATCGTCGTTTTCCACCATAAACCCTCATTTTAGCAAGTGACGTGCGTCAACTTAGCTATCAAAAATCAGCTATACGTCCCATCATATCCCCCTTTTGGCTTGGTGGCCGATGGCCTTCCTCCTTCCCCACCATCTCGCAGCCCGGGGGAGGCTGACGACGAACCGACTCGTCCTCGACCGTTGCGGGACCGGCGCAACCACGAATGCTCATAATCTCATGATATCAACGTTATATCCTATTATACAGCCCATTTGATTGGTTATATTCCCGTATCCCAAATCGAAATCCATTCAAATGAGTTTGTATGAAACTAGGCTACCCCTGAATCCATTGGTTCATCATCATAATACCTATTAAAACCGCCATTTGGGGGTGTACCCCATTTTCAAACACATCCAAATATCATATTGTTCATTAGTGCTAAAGCCCATCATTTATATTAAACCCATTAAATTCCATGAAAGCTCTTTGGATCATAAACGACTTTCTCTTGAATGCATTTCTTTGGTTAAATCCCTACTTTCATCAATTCCCACCATAGTTGATCAAATCATATTAAATCACCATTTTGGTTCATAAAATTCGGAAGTAAATTACCATCTCAATTCCCATGGCTCTTGAAATTCCCCATTTTGCTTTGATGTTGAAAAATATCAAGCCATATTAAAAAAAACAATATCATTCCATCATTGTACCTACCCTCTGGTTATTTAACATAGCCATGGGAAATGACCCATAGAAATAGATGGTTTACCTATTACAAATGGTGATTTCCCAGAGCTAAGTTAAATAACCAGATGGCATTAAAAAAAACTGGTTGGTGGTTGAGCAACCCGGCTGAAATATATGAACGTCAATTGGGAAGATGAAATTCCCAATATATGGAAAATTAGAAAATGTTCCAAAACACCAACCAGAAAAATATATATAATTCCAATAACTATGGTTTATGGTTTATGGTACTTATAGCTATAGTTACTGGGGCTTATAAACCAACTTATAACTGGGGGGCCTCACATTGCATATCTGGTTGGATGACCCCACTGAGCACGTCCCGTCTCCTCGGCGCAATGCTCACGCATCTTGCCTGCCGATGTCCGACTGCAGTGTCGGTTTTGAGGACGCTTAGCAAAAAGGTGGGCTGCGTATATATATATATATATAACTATATATATATAACTATATATATATCTCTATATATATAACTGTATATATATATATATATGTATATCATATGTATGTATATATGATATATGAACAACTAAATATTACATTATATGTATATAACTTATACAACTATTGGTATGATCAACTATATATATATATATGCAAAGCCAACATTCCATTATCTCTAGGCTCTGGAAGTAGACAGTATATGACATCATAATAATATTGAAGTGGGTGGTCAACGTTGGATCACTGAGGGATCCACAAGCGTTGGTCACTTTATGTGCTTTGAGATTGTGGTGAAAGGGGAGCTGTGCTTATGAAATTAATTTGGGGTACCTCCCCAATTTGACGCAGACCACATTCCCCTTCTGGTTGTGACAGTTGTGACTATATCCCCTCACATATAGTATATGCTCATCACACGTGCTGTAGCCTATGTTACTAGTTCAATGGGAATTTCAGGATCCTAAAATGGAGGTACTGTACCATATAAGGCCATATTTTGTGGGGATATTCCCTTACATAGGCCTTATGTATGGTATGTACCTCCAATTTAGGTTCCTGAGATGGCCAGTGACTAGTTGCCACTGCATGGATTTGTCCAAAAAAACGGTCTACTGTACCAGCTCTACCCCACGAAACAATGGTTTAATCTGGATGCCCACCACCTATGACCCATCGTTAGATGTTAAAGGTGCACCCCAAACTCACTGCTGTCCCATTCCTCATATGGCATGTGTGGGTGGAGGGGGACACCCAACAGGTAATGCCCCTCTTTGGTGTCAACCACGGATGAATCATTATTGGTATTGGTCGATTGAAAATGACTGAAATGGTACCCAACATGAACAGCCCAGGGCTCAGCATTCATCCAGAGATCGGTTTTTAATCAGGCTAAGAAGGAGTTTATGGTGGATATATCAAACAATTGCTGAGGTAAAGAACAGTGAGGTCGTTATAATTTACCCAGATCAAAGGTTTCCAGTTACCCTCTGGTAAACAGCCACGTAACTATAGAAAATCACCATGCTATCAATGGCTAAATTCACTATTTCTATGGCCATGTTCAATAGCCTGTTTGTTTACCAGGCCGGGTAATATAGTGTTTTTATCATATCATTATCCATGATCTATGACCATATCCCGGGTAATTATGAGTATTTAATTATCTCCAGAAAATACCTACCCAGTAATTATCTTTACCAGAGGGTAAACCACCATTAGATCACCATTAAATCCCCATTTCTAGATGATTTTCCGAAAATCCATGGGTTTTATCCGTATTTTCTTAAACCAGGCCGGGTAAGATGTCCTCTTAAACCACTGACAAAACACACGCCCGGGCCTAGGATCAGATCTAAGGCTCTGGTCACCCCATCGGAGACGTCTGAATAGACCTGAGCTTTGGCTGGTCATTGCCGTGGTCAATGACTTACCCACCGTGGCGGGCCGGTGAAGTCACAAAAAAGGGGACACACTCAAAACAAATACATGTGATCAATATTCCATTAAATTGGTTGATGTTGGTTTGTAACCAGCTCAACTGTTGGATTTATGGTGAGGAAATATAGATTCTATTCATACTATACTATACTTAGACCATAGTTATATTAATAATATATATATATATGTTTGGTCTTGGTATATCCATATATAATTATAGTTACTATAGTTAGACGGATCAACTGCGGGTCACCTTGCAGGCTATGACTTCGCTTTCTCCAAAAGCCTGGTGATGTTGGTTGACATTTGAGGCAGGTCGTTTTCCATCCTGACCTTCATAAGGCCAGCATTTTGCCTTTCAAACACCTACCAACCATTCTCAGTTATACCCAAAAAACACAAATGATTATATTGGTTGAGACAAACACATAGCTACAGGGCATCATGTTGTTGAATAATACTTAACAACCCCCAGAAACCAAGGTTGACAAGGGATTTAAAAGTGGGTGCGTTTTTAATATTAGGTGATGAGATTAAAAAGAATCTTTCATGGGAGTATAAGTATAAACCATTTCTTTCAAAAATCAATGCCAAGTGTTCTCCATGTCTTTGCAGCCCGAGTAGCTCCCAACACCCTCAACTGGGTGTCAGGGAAGAAGTCGCCCTTGTTGCTAAAGACCAGGCGACTCTCAGACTCCTCGTGCTCGAAAAAGCAATCGCTGGGTTCTCATGGGCAAAGGCAAAGGTAAACTGGTTGGTGGTTGACCTACCCCTCTGAAAAATATGAGTCTGTCAAATGGGATGATGACATTCCCAATATGTGGAAAAATATAGAATGTTCCAAACCACCAACCAGTAAAGGTTCCTTGATTTTATGATGAAAAATGATGACCTGCTACGTGGTTTGATGGCATGTGTTTTTTGTATTGCATAGTAGAAATTAAGATTTCCTTAGTTAAGGTCCCAATAGAGCGGTTTTCAGAATCCTGTTGTGTTAGAAACCGGTGCCAAGCTCACCGTGCAGGTCCGGTGAGGATTAGATTTAAGGCACATGCGGACCCACAAAATGTGTCAAGGTCATGATTTGTTTTCAGTTTTTTTGCTTGTTTCTTCCGCCCACCCATCTCAAAATATAAGCCAACAGATTTGGATCATTCCAGTCAATAGCGAGAACGTGCAACGTGCGAGAACTACCATCTAAAAACACCAGCCCGACATGTTCGACATCAATTTACCCTCCAGTAAATTAACATAGACCCTGCCAGATAGGGGTTGGTTCATATTAGTTTTAGTGACCAATTTTGCGTGTCTATGTTAATTTACCCGAGGGTAGACCTTAGTTCGTGGGGTGTCTCCAGGTCATGGGCAGCTCGGTCCTGTTGCAGTTCGTCTTTTAAGGATCCCTTGTCTCGGAGAAGAAAACTGGCAAAAACGTCCGGGATCAACACCTGCAGAAATTCAAGGTTTGATGGAAGTGGGAAACCTGGAAGACCTAGACCCTCCGTTTGTTTCCAGGGACCCATCTAAAAATGTTATTTATTTGACCCTATAAATTTAGTACTTTGTGCCATTTTGGTTGGGTATTTGCAGGGTCCAGGTAAGTTGATCAGCCAACTGCTTCTTTTATCGAAGGAACCGAGGGATCGCACCAAGCATGTTGACCAAGATGATGTCCCCTCAGTATTCATTTATGTCTGGGTAGGTTGTCAAGAAATATGGTTCGGAGGCAAATATTGATTCTAATCAGAATGTGATGAAACACATGTCCATCATTTTCCACCCACCAAGCCCGAAGAGTCTGAACACTTCACTTTTACTGGCCATCAAACTGTGTCTTTCCGAGTATGAACAATAATGTCCTCCAGCTCTGACCATCACCCAAAGACTTTGTCGAATGATGGTTCTTTACGGTGCCCCAAACATTCCACCAACATACAAACACTTATGTCATAAAAGCCAAACAATATCTGCCGTGATGCAGCCATCTACCCCCAAGATATTCGCCACGACATACACAAGGTGTTGCCCCCCCCCAGTCATATATATATATATACATATTTACCCCATCTTGCTGTAGATTGTAGATACTGCTCATGTTTGATGGTTTCATAATGTTAACCGGTCAGCCAGTAACTATGGTTTAATGTCATAAATCAGCAACAAAAAATCCCACGGAATCACCATATTTGTTGGTTCAATGCTCAATCCACGTTAAAACCATCGGAATTTGTCCAAGATCTGCCCTGAACCAGGCCTTGAGGCAATACTTCATCTTGGGGCCCTCCCTTTTCCGCCACGTGGCTGGGCCTGCGAAGAAACTCATCGGGTTTTCCATTGTTGTGAATATATATATATATATATATCATATCATATCATATAGTCCAACCATGTCGAAGTCAAATCATATGTATATTTAAATGTATGTATATATATATATACAGTAGACTATAGATATAGATATTATCCACACAGTTATGCAACATATGGCTCAATTGATTTTTTGGACACTTGGCATGGAGCCTATGGAGCCCTATGGAGCCATGACGAGTAGCGAGTTTGGGTGCATGGTGAATTAAGCAGCGGAATGTGGGAATGGTTGTGGAACAAAACCTTTCCATACCTTTCCTATTTTTCCTGCACTTCATGAGGAATTCTGACTCCAAAAATGCAGTGTGATTTGCTTGCCACATTCAAATGAATGGGCTGATTGAAACCACCATAGAACATTCAAACAACCTGGCTGCTCTAGCTAGGTTGGTCCATCCTTGAATACCCCAACAACGCATCAACACAGTGTAGCTTGAAAGGTGGAATTATGATTTATCAAGATTTATCGTATGTCACAATTACAAAGAAGGAGAAACAGGTGTTTTGCATGACTGCTCTCGCTAGATGGTATCATGTTGGCTATTCTCAATGATGTTCTCATCCAGAATCGGATTAAATTGGACTCGGGATTCATGTGGTTAAAACAATGCCATAAACCACCCATGACTGGGAATGGTTTATATATACCACCTATGAAAATGGTGATGACTGGGGGATGGAGCAAATGGCATTGTTTTACTCACATTATTGTCATCCATGAGCTGGGAAGCCCTCTCAACCAGTGGAGCACGTAGTGACCGGGTCCCCGAAGGGCGTATGCCAGGAGTTTGGTGAGTGGTGCCCCTCTAACTCGACGGAAATTTCATCACCATACATTCTAATTCATTCAGGAAATATGGGTGAACCTTTACCAACTTTGATATAAATCAACTATCAATCTCCATGTTGTTTCAACTCCCATTTTCATAGAATAAAATCCACATTTGTGGGGCACAACAAGAAGTGGGTCCATGGTTGGCCCATCCCCACCTGCCGCATGGCCCACATCCTCGTGCCCGCGTTTCATGGCGGACACCGCGGTGGAGCGGCGACTCGGGGTTGGTTGGAGGTGCGAAGGGATTCAGTGGGATTTCGTGCGATGTATCCTATCCAGGTGCTTTGACAGTGATATATCATATCACCCTCATTTGTCTTGGAATGCTCGTGGTGTTTTCATTTCTGAAAAACTAGAACTGCCATAGCTTTGCCTGTGTGTATCTTGCAAGAAGGAAACAGGATCCACTGACTAACTATATAGTTACTTGGTAGCTCTGAAAATACATGTATACAGTATACAATGTGCCCCAAAAAGTTATAAGTTGATTATAAACCCCACAAACTATACTTATAAGATGTTATCATAAGCCATAGGTAATTATTGGCGTTTTGTTTCAGCAACTTTGCTATCTAGGGGCCCCACATGGGATCATATGGTGACTTTGTGAGCCTCTTGGTGGAAGATAATACCTACCTACTCCTTGGCCAGTCAATGAATTTTAGGGCATCATGTTGCCCCTATCTTCCCAAGGCGCTGCCGAGGGAACTACCTGTAAGCCAGCTGACAAGTGGTGGGAGCAGCACGGTCCGGAGCATGGATGTAGAAATCAAAAGGACGCACAACCTCTGCAATCGTCCCAGCTGGCAAGAAAAACATGCTGGACCAGAATGAATGCAGATGTTTATATGTTTACTTAATGATCATTGCCACAGAAAGCAAAATTGCTGTGACAACAGCAGTGACTGGACCCCCTTTGGAAAACCATGGTGACTCGCCGAAAATGAATGCCGAAACGTGGCAAGGATCGAAACGTGAGGATCCCCCACACTTCGAGGGTGACTGGACTCCTGTCAAAATGCACATGCAGTTGTGATGTGCTTCTGAACGTTTCATTCTCATCCATCCTTCCGACTTGTTTCCTAGCGCAGGTGTGTGTGTGTGTGATACCTTGTTTGTCTTGCCTCGTAATCGAGTTTCCCGTGCTGAGAATTTTCCCACGTTACATGTTCAAGAATGGAGTTGTACCCCCAAAATGACAAGCACGCTAACCGCTAACCCGCATTTCTCATGGACGAGGGACAAGCCCACCTCACAATCGTATGTCGCTTGGGTTAGCTGCACGTATAAAAATGATTTTCTAGCCTCAATGGGTTGGTTTAGGGAACAACTGCAGGAACACATCTGGGTTTGGCTGAAAACCGGGCACCTCTAGATCTGATGGTGTGAAATTGTTTTCCACATTAAAATGGTCATAAATAATGGTTAACCCCCCTATTTTCACACAGCCCCCATGTTCTTTTGCTCACAACGACGATTTCTGACCCTGCTGAAAACGACGATTTCTGACCTTGGATTAAGATACACTATCATAGAAGATAGATGAAACTAGTAAATGAAACACATGTACGCAAGGTTGTTTTGTTGGGGCGGTGGGGGTGGAGGGGTGGGGCAAGAGCGTGCAGATGCACTTGATGCTATGCTGGAATCGCTGTTCGTGGATGGTCGCTGTGACTAAGAGAGAAAAAAGGCGCGCACCGAAGGTGCGGCAGCTGCCTGCACAAAAGCACATAAAAATAAGTGTCTTACAATGTCGTACACATGATTGATTTGCTTGCCTGGTACACTGGACACAAAACTACAAAACGTTGAAACGTTGCGCATGTCCATCCTCATTGTTAAAATGAACAAATATCACAGGGGGCCAACAATGGCGCCGTCACTTGTTTTGCCATCAAATCAAGGTTCCTGGAATGGTGGTACCCCCGGTTCTCATCCATGTATAAATGGATTTCCCATGAAATTAACAATCCGGCTCTTGGGGTACCCCATTTCAAGAAACCCTTTAAATACAGGATATTACAAGATACTAAGACTACCATAAGATGATATAAGATATATAAGTAACTCATGATATAAGATATATTATTAATAAATATAAGATGATATAAGTACTACCATAAGTACCCCATCGCGCTCGCGCGCTCTTCATTTCTTTGACACGCTTCTCAGAGTGCGCCGCCCGTGTCACGCGGCTGAATTCCAGGAGACCTGGCTGGACAAGCCCACATCCCTTATGTAGAATGGGACAGCCCAAAGGCGACCCTCCAATCATACAGTCCAATCATAACGGTTCGATAAGGGTTTGCGAACAACTTACAACCAAAAATAAGGGCTTACTATTTGTTCATCATTTACATCCCATGCTGATCAGGAGGGAGGCTTGAGGCATAATTTAGGGCCTAAGTCCGACCGCAGTCTCAGGAAATATTTGATAGAGGAATCTGTTTTGTTTCCATGGAATCATGTATATGTACGAATGCATGTATGCACGGCAACGGAATGCATTGGAATGTAACGTATTATCTTGAAGTAACCTCTTGTCATATTCATTGAAAGTCAGTACACTGCAGCGATCCGCAATGTCATGTATTAGATAGAATCTATCGACTAGTTTATACCTACATGTTGCTTCTTACATGTTGATGTCTAAGTAACGATTTGTGCATCAAAATCGTATCGTGTTTGTTGAATGATTCATATCCAACTGCTATCGAAAACATGTGTTCTTAAAATGTCTGGATAATCCTGCTGGTCAACAGTCAACTAATATTCATGCTATCAGCCTAATGGTCTGCGTTGTCTCCACACGTTCGAGACACATCGGTATACTGGCCATGTGAAGGAGTTTTTCTCAATCTGCGCTCTGACAAGTCTATCCATCTAGGTGCGTACAGTGTGTTGACATTTGTCCCTGATGAACCTTCATGCTTGTTTGAAACAGGATACCAAACATGTCCCGGTGCAAACACACATTGAAAATTGCTTCGGTGCTGCTTTGAAACACCCATTGACGGCCCTGCTTTTTTCAAGGTGCTGGCATTGCCTGGATTGTTGCCTCCAGAATGTTGTTAATCTTGGATGCCCATCGATGCCCCAACAAAAAATATTCATTTGAGGTGCTTCAGCTAGAGAGTGGGTTATAGGCAAATCGCTTTTGCCAAGTAAATGCGGCCAGGGGAAGTGACTCACCGTAAATTCCCGATCTAAACCCGCATATGCCGACTGCAAGGTCCTTTTCCTCCCTGAAGATCTCTAGCGATGTCAGCCCATGTGTCAAGAGCAGTCAGAACCTCTGCTTTGGTTCAATGGCACGCCCAAAATGAAAAAACACCGCTCTATGGGGAATACCCTTTGGCAACCTGGCAATTGGAAAGACCATCTAGAGCAGGAAAATCATCCACAAGTGGATCAAGATGAATTTGTTGAGATCAGGTTACCTGAGGGATCCTGAGGGTAACCGAAGACATGCTTAACAAAAGATTCAAACACAATCAAAAGTTTTGAAGATGGTCGTTGTCCTTTGAAACGCCGTGGCTTTTGATCCATTCTGATCTCCCCTGGTGCCTGGCATAGATCAAAGCCGTGTAACCTACTGTACTACGATCTCCACCACAAAACATGGCGGGAATAAATTTGCAACTGGTAAACGCTCCAATGCCCAACTTCTGGCTTTCCTGTTGACCCCATCCCTGGAAGTGTTCACTCCCCATTCACTGAACTCATGGGTGATCCTTCCGGTTAAAAATTGGTGGAACGTCCTTGACCCCTTCAAACAGGTCAATGATGTTCGATGTTGACCCGGAAAACACATTGTGTTCACTGTTCACCCATCTAATTTCCCGAAAAAAACACATGTTTATCCTCAAGGAACCCAATAAAATTAGTAAGCAATCCTGCTGGGTCCTGAACATATGAACAAATCATTTGAACAAAAATATGCATTTTTGGGAGTCAACATCTAAAAATCAAAGCGGAAGCCTTCACATCCAGGTAACGTTCGGATTTTCCGGGTTCTTGGCCCATCTCGCCGCCATTCCGACCGAAGAAGCCTGTGGGTCCGTTGGCCAGGAACCGAGGTCTCGGATCAGTAGCCGGAACAAATCCTCAGGATGTTGCCGAGGCAGGATGCTTTCGAAAACCACATGCACTATGGGGAGACTGGATTGATACTTGGTGGCTCATCCCAGTTAGTAAGTGGATTATAACCCCAGTTATAAGTGGGATAAGTAGGGTTAATCTACCTATAACTGGGGTTATAAGTCGCTTACTAAGTGGGATGAGCCACCAATTACACTCCTGTAGCCCACCATACTGAAACACCTTGATGTTCATGTAGAACCGAAACTGAAACTGTGTTATGGAAACAGGATGTGAGCAATGTAATCACAGGGGCATGTCATATTAGTCGTGTTTTTGTTGGCCTCCTTAAGATCCCCAGGAACTCGCGGTCATCAACCAGGGCGTCGTCCACGGGCTTACGTTTTATTAGTTTTGCTGGTTGCGAAGTTAGTGGTCCTGACTTGTTTTTTGTTGTAGAATCCCTTGTGGGTATATTGTACGAGCCGAAAAATATTGCTCACCGGACATTGCTAAGGCCGGACAGGCCGGCGTGTAGAATGTACATAGCAGCACATCTTTATCAAAATTCGCAGTTTGGAGCGAGAATAGCGCAGCAAGCAATTCTTAGACTGCCAGCTGGCAGCAGCCAAGCGCATCTCTACAATCAAACACCACAGCTGTGCCACAGCCTGCAGCAACTTTAAGTGGTGCGGGCACAAACCTGCCACAGGTTGAGAGGGAGGGAGGGTTACAAGCAATCCATTCTTAGACTGCCAGCTGGCAGCAGCCAAGCACATCCCTACCATCACACAACAAAGTAGGTAGCAGCTGTAAGTGCTGCAGGCACAGACTTGCCAACACAATCACAGGGCTTGGGCATAGTAAACGTATTCTTGCATGTATGCACTCATGTATGTACGTGCGCTCATATATGTGCGTACAAATGTAAAATCAGATTGCACATAATCAAATATATATATATAATTGTGTATATATATATAATTGTATATATATATATATACATAAACTATATATATAATTATATGTAAAATAACGTATGGATCAGAGGTATGGAAAAGAGGTATGGAACGGATCCTTCAAGGAGGTATGGAACGGGGGTATGGAACGGGGGTATGGAACGGGTGTGGTCCCGGAGCTTGTTCCGGACCTCCTATTTTGACTTGCCCCCATATAGGTACAACAACTACCCCGACTACCAGTTAGAGTTTAGAACTGACGTCTGATTACCCGGAATGTTCAAAAGGGAAACATAGTGAGCTACCAACATCAACTGGGAGAGGCAAAACAAAAATGCAACGGATAATCTTGGACAAACCCAAGAATCCGTTCCGCCCCAATCATCCTTTCCGCCCCAATCATCCTCATCCCAGCTTGCTTTTCGTTTCTTGCGGCGCGAAGCTTCTCGATATAGTATGTGCGTCAGAATCAAACCTTGGATTTGCTGCTTCGCGTGTCTGGTTCTTACGAAGGACTGAAACAAAAGTTCCCTGAACAATCCCCGGGTCACGCCTTGTCCGACAGGGGTTTTAAACATGTTTCAGCAAAGCCAGGAAACTCCACGGTTCTTTGTTCAGATCAGCCACCGCAGGGATAAACAGAGCCTTTGCCACCACTGCTGCGTTTTTCGCTCCAGGGTAGGACTCAAAAAAAACCGTGATATTTTTATGAACTTTATCGCGCCCAAAGCCGGATTTGGTCCCCGCCACAAGGTTGGAGTATGGCACCTGCAAGGGCCACTATGCAAAGCCACAGTAATTTACGGAGGCCAAAATAAGCCGAGTATTTTGAAGCATTTGTGTATAGTTTTATTTTTCTTTAACGGCTTTAACATGCTTTAACCATGACGCATGAATGGAATTTGTATTCCCAAACACACCAACCACATCCGACCACCACACATCTGTGACTCACGCCTTCTCATATTCGAAATCTCCTTTCGAGGGCACGAATTGCAACTCCGGCAAGCCCGGAGCAAAGACTTGAATGGCAATTTTTCCCAGAACAACGCACGCGTCTTTTCCAAATGACCTACAGCTCGTGCAAAACGAAACGGAGGGTCGGTGGGGATCATGATCCGCTATAGCGCAGCCCCGGTGATGACTCTTTCGGGAAAAAAAACACTGGTGTGCTTCCAAAGCTAACCTGCTTGTTTGGTTGCGTTCTACTCTTTGAAACCAAAAGTCACATGCATCACTTCTTCAAAAAAACTAGACGACGGATGGCCCGAGAGCGTAGAGGAGCAGGGTCGTCTCTTGTTAGTATGGAGACACCATATTACAAAACAATATATGAAAGATGTGTTATAGGCAGTCGAGAAGAGGAGTATCAAGACAATATAGCACAAGTACAAGACAATAGTTTGCATCGCAAACACTTTTACACACAGAAGCTTTTACACACAGACACTTTTACACACAAAAGCTTTTACACACAGAAGCTTTTACACACAGAAGCTTTACACACAAAAGCTTTCACACACAGAAGCTTTTACATACAGGCATTTTCACACACAGACGCTTTTACACAAAGACGCTTGTACACACGGACGCTTTTACACACAGACGCTTTTACACACAGAAGCTTTTACACACAGACGCTTGTACACACGGACGCTCTTACACACAGACGCTTTTACACACAGACGCTTTTACACACAAACACTTGTACACACAGAAGCTTTTACACACAGAAGCTTTTACACACAGACGCTTTTACACACAGACGCTTTTACACACAGGCGCTTTTACACACAGAAGCTTTTACACACAGACACTTTTACACGCAAAGGCTTTTACACACAGAAGATTGTACACACAGAAGCTTTTACACAGACGCTTTTTACACAAACGCTTTTACACACAGAAGCTTTTACACACAAACGCTTTGACACAAAGACACTTTTACACAACAGAAACTTTTACACACAGACGCTTTCACACACACAGAAGCTTTTACACACAGACGCTTGTGCACACAAAAGCTTTTACACACAGACGCTTTTACACACAGAAGCTTTTACACACAGACACTTTTACACGCAGACCCTTTTACACAGGAGCTTTTACACACAGAAGCGTTTACACGCAGACGATTTTACAGACACAGAAACTTTTACACACAGACGCTTTTACACACAGACACTTTTACACAGAGCACACAGAAGCTTTTAAGCAGACACTTTTACACAGACGCTTTTACACAGATGCTTTTACACACAGAAGCTTTGACACACAGCACACAGAAGCTTTGTACACACAGAAAAATCGCAATTTTTCCTCAGTTTTTGGCGATCGACCCTCATTTTGTGCGAAAGGGTTGCAACGGGAACCCGGAAATCGCAATTTTACATCAGTTTTTGGCGCTCGAACCTCATTTCGTGCGAAAGGGTTGCGCGGGACGACTTGAACTCGCACTTTTACCTCAGCTTTTGACGATCGAACCTCATTTCGTGCGAAAGGGTTGCGCGGGACGACTTGAACTTGCACATTTACCGCAGTTTTTGACGATCGAACCTCATTTCGTGCGAAAGGGTTGCACCGGACAAGTTGAAATCGCAATTTTACTTCAGTTTTTGACGATCGAACCTCGTTTCGTGCGAAAGGGTTGCGCGGGACGACTTGAAATCGCAATTTTACATCAGTTTTTGACGATCGAACCTCATTTCGTGCGAAAGGGTTGCGCGGGACAAGTTGAAATCGCAATTTTACCTCATTTTTTGGCGCTCGAACTTCATTTCGTGCGAAAGGGTTGCGTTTCGTGCCGTCTCGTTGGCACTGCCCCCGCTCCCGCCTTCAAGAGAGAAATAGAAAAGAAGGAGAAGGCAAGAGGGCAAGAGGAGAAGATGTGAGATGAGAAGATGTGAAGATGTGAGAAGATGTGAGAAGATGTGAGAAGATGTGAGAAGATGTGAGAAGATGTGAGAAGATGTGAGAAGATGTGAGAAGATGTGAAGATGAGAAGATGTGAGAAGATGTGAGAAGATGTGAGAAGATGTGAAGATGAGAAGATGAGAAGATGAGGAGAAGATGAGAAGATGAGGAGAAGATGAGAGGATGAGAAGATGTGAAGATGAGAAGATGTGAAGATGAGAAGATGTTAAGATGAGAAGATGAGGAGAAGATGAGAAGATGAGGAGAAGATGTGAGGATGAGAAGATGTGAAGATGAGAAGATGTGAAGATGAGAAGATGTGAGGATGAGAAGATGTGAAGATGAGAAGATGTGAAGATGAGAAGGTGTTTTACAGACCCCCACTATTGGAAGAACCCTGCGCTCAGACGCTCTCGGGAACAAAAAACACATTTCAGTACTGAATTCATAAGCCAACGAACTCTTTCAGACTCTGGTTCAGTTCCTCCGCAAAATAATTCCAGTCTTCAGGCAAAATTCTTCCAGACTCACCCTCATTGAGCCTCAAGACATAATCCCGGTCACTGCCGTTGATCTGAACGCCATATGCGGCTGAGCCAATGAGTTCAAGTGTAGCTGCCTTGGCACCATTGGCAAGGCACTCATTGGCTTTGCTCCGAACCAAATCCAACACATCTTCCAGCTTTCTGTGAAAGTCCTCAGGTTCTGCCGGCTTCAAGGAGGCAGCCAAGTCTCGGAATTTCTTCTGCCCTTCCAAAGCTTTGCGAACTTCTTCCAAGAGTTCCTCATCCACTTGAGAAATGTGCGTCTGTCTTTTTGGAGCATCTTGGTCTCCTTGGACGCCTGCAAGTTTCCAATATGGTTTTCCATCTTTTTTTTTGAGCTCGATTTGACCCTTGTTCTTAAGTGAGTATAAGAAGCGGTTGACGTTTGATGCTGTGCCATCCTTTCCAATCACTGCTTTGGCAATGGCCAAAGAAGTGCTCTCAGTCCCTGCAGTTCTTCGGAAATAATCCATGATCTTTTCCTGGTTGGCCGTTCAGTCACAGATCCCCCAAGAAAAGAAATCCAGTCGAATCGTCGTGCTCGAGAGGGTGCAACACACCATAAAAAATACATCCCCTAATTCAACACGGAACCTGAAAGTGGAGACCCAGTAAATGATTTTATTGGCTTAAGGCCCAACTGCTGAAATCGGTAAAATGTGTAAATCAATGAAGTCACCAACAAATTGCCGTCGGGTCTACATCCACACCTCCTTTGTCGAGACCGCCAGTGCCTGTCATGGGATCTAAAATGCTCCTGCGCCTGGAAAATGCCTGAACCTAGAAGGTGGACTTCTGTGTTGAACCACCATAGAACCAGTATCTTCCATAGTATCTTCCATGTGTATACATAGGATGTACTGATATACCCCACTTACAAATCATGGATTCTATGTATGAACATAGACCATACCAATACCAAGACCCTCTAAATGAACACATATCTAACCATCATTTCAGCAGGTGTACCACTTTGTATGGGTCAACTGAGGGTCAAGGCTTCAAAACAATAGACCATAATATGTTTCCGACATGAAAGTAATATGTTACTGATATATCTTCATGATTCAACACAAAAACACGTTAAATAAAACAAACGACAATCAAACAAATGACGATGATCAAAAACAAACCAATCATAATCATGGTAACAATGACAATAGCAGTACTGATAAACAAAACATCACAAGCGTATTGCCTGATTAAACAAAGACACTGACAATGTTTGAACAAATACAAAAACAAACCAACAAATAGCCTAAGATAAACAAACGTTACCAATAATTAAGAGAAACAAATGTAATACTTCTAGTTTGAAACGTGTGATCATCAAAAACAACACATTATAACAAAGAAAACAACCATAATAGCAATAAATGTATGTATATAATATATATATATATATGTGCAAGTATTATGTATGTCCAATTTTTGTATATGTATATATTGATGTATATGTACTTCCGCATGTCTATATATATATATACATACATACATATATATATATATATATTATAACTATCTAGATCCTCCCAGGTCACCGCACCGAGCCTGGAGCCAGGGCTTTCCACTGCGGATTGGCGTTCTCCGTTGTGATGAGCTCCACCTCGGCGAAGAGATACGTCAAATGCTCGACGTCGTCGCTGATGATAAGCCCTGGTGTTTTAACATAGCCATGGAAGCCATGGCCCATAGAAATAGATGATTTTCCCAGCGAACTAAACCTCCATTTATTTTGGGGATTTTCCATGGCTATGTTAAATAACCATATGGTATCACTGGGGATCTGTATCCCAAATGCGAACCATGGTGCTGGAATATGAATCCCAACATTTACCCGAACAAAATCACCCAGATTTGTAGGTAAATATACCAGCACCATGGAGCATATGGGTCGGGATAAATTATAATAGTTCACTAACCTGAAATAAGACCATATTGGGATAATTCGGACCCTTACTAACCGTTATTCCAGGGTTCGGTCGCAGTGAGGTCGTTATCATTTACCCATATATATGAATTTTATTTCTGGCAAAAGGGAACATACAAAGTGCGGCCTCCTGGTTATCAGCTAGTTTATAACCCCATCTGTTTCATTAATATCCTTCATAAACATCTATAAACGTAAGTTATTGTAGCTATGTTCACGAAGTGAGCTATCAAGCCACCAGGCCCTGGTCTTTGAGCGCGTAGAGGCAGCGATTCACGTCCTAGTGGGGACAGCCGGTCGGACAGGGGGTTCAAGAAAGCAGTATTTGAAGGATCAGCGAACTTACTAACTGGAGTAACTATAGTTATGACCCATATACATATATATATATATGGATGGAAAAATCCACTTAGTATGATATGTATATATATTATATACATGATTATATATAATATATATATATAATCTATATATATATATATGATATGTATATATATAAGAATAATATATATATATATATCTATATACATATATATTATATATATATAATAATTCACTTAAGGGACCACGGTGCATAACCAGCTACTGAGTCAGATGATCCATTGCAAAGCTGGGAAAGCACTAGAAAGACAGCCAGCGTTAGGGATGGAACATGGAACCAGCAAGAACCAGCATCATGTGAAATCATCAACGACCTCCACCAGGAGAAACTATGATCTCCTGAATGGTCCCCCTTTCTAAAAAATAGCAGGTCAATCTTGAAAACGTCCCAACACATTTCAGACTCCTTGGGAAAAAAAACATGGGCTCCAACAAGACTTCTCCATTTCTGTTCTGTGGGGTATGTGGGGCAGAACTGCCAGGGTTTTTGTGTTTTTTTTAATCATCCCTGACCCCAAGGGCCCAAGACCTACAGAAACTCCTGAATTAATGCTTTGTTAGGTGTATACCCATCACCCAGCGTCCTTTTTTTTTGTCGCGCCCCACTTCTTTGACACTTTGACAATGGTAGACAAAGGAACCCAGTCGCCAGTAGCTTTCAGATACTCCAAGATCCGCTGCTTCAATGATTGGTCCTCTACACTGGTCCCTGCGGACATGACAACACGTGCCCTGCATGCCCTGCGTGCCACGTCACCTGTGTTGCCAGGATTTTGCCAGGATTTTCCTAGGATGCTTAAAGGATGTTAAAGGTAACGTTCACAAAAAGAATCATCCCTTGTTTTAGACCTTGATCATAGGAACTATATCAAATATATCCCAAAAAACACCCAGAAGTCGACAGTCTAGCGACTTCCAAAGCCCACGGACACGAAGGACACAAAGGATGTAGAGAGCTGAAAGATCCAAATCATCAGCAGTCGTCGCCATGGCGCGGGCCTAGTGGGCCTAGTCCGCTGCATGGCGGCCCAAAAATCGCAAATCTTGATGCAAAAAACACTTTTGCTGACGAAGAATACCGAGATAAGGCCTACAAAATAAGGCCAAAAACATGGTACAGTACCTCCATTTTAGGGTCCTCGAATTCCCATGGAAACTAATGCTGAAAATAAATTAAAATAACCCAAAGCTGCGGGTTGAGAGCTTCTAACTGAAGACCTTCATACTGAGGATGCTCCTGCTGCTCCTCAGCTACAAAATACACCCAAACCAAGAATACTAAAATCAGGGTTTGCTACTCCAGCATGCTTCATCCTTCTATCCTGATGCTAAGGTGTTTCAATCGTGCATCTACCAGTGAAATGGACGATTTTAGACCTGAGCCACCTGGAAGTGTATGTTAGCCTATGGCTACTGTAGCTGAAATGGTCTTTCTTGCCGACTAGCTGTGTTCCACAAATCATCTTCAATCCCCATCTATTAGAATTTCAAAAATGCTCAACCACTTTTGACACACCTACCAGGTGGTGCCCCCGTAGTTCTCAGCTTGTCTACAACCCCCATGAACTGCAGCGAAACTATCAACATCCATAAATCGTTGTTGGAGTTCTAAACCAACTTATTAAACAAACTTCAGCATCACCTTCTATTCCGCTTTATATATTTTCGGGTGGTCCGACCATAGCAATCATCCGCAATCCCCCGTACGGTAACGTGTCGGCCATGCACGAAGAACTTCTCTTCGCTCGCCATGCGGGTGAGTCTTTAATGGTTTTTTCGGGGCGGCCTGCGGCACCGATGTTGAAGGGAGGATCTTTGGATGAACGTTGGGATTACAATGGAATACAGTTATGGCCCAAGTTATACCAGTTATAAGTACTAAGAAAACCCCATTTATAGAATGTATAATCCCATAGAAATAACCAGTTATAACTAATAGCCATGGCCATAACTGTATGGATTATAACCAGGGTTGGCCTATTTGACCAGAGGTTGGCCTAGAAATTTTCTCATATTATGTTTATATATACCCAGGGTGGCCACACACAAATAGGCCATCACTGGTTATAAATTATGGCATTATGGATGATGAAATACAGAGGTTTTAACCACTAATCACGGGGATTCACCAGCCATGTCATTGGGTGATTCAGTACCAACTTCTGTATTTACATACTGCAAAAGTTCTTTTTTACGATGGCTTTGAAATGGTTCGCATGAAAGGCGCGAAAAGCTAGAAAGTCTGTCTAGAACAAGTCTTTTCTATGTCATTGGATCGGTTTAAGGGAACATTTGCAGAAAACCCGGACATTTGATGGGGGTTTTCCCTTGGTTTCCTGTAGATGTTCCAGCCAATTCAGTGAATGTCTAGCTTTGATGCTGTATTTCCTGACACTTTCAGGTCATCTCTCGAAAACGGCCTTGAGTTTCAGCGTGCGCCCCAGGGCTCCAACTCAGCCTGCCGACCGATTCACCATATGTAACCCATATGCTCCATGTATGGTATATTTAAATTCAAAACTGGGTGATTTTGTTCGGGTAAATGTTGGGATTCATATTCCAGCACCATGGTTCGCATTTGGGTAGGGCTTATCATGCTTCTTGGGGTTGCTATACAAGTGGATACTGACAGTCCGGGTGAGATAACGAAACAAGATAACTGAGATAACCTGATGACTCTCCACCCAATCACCCAGAAGAAAACACTTTCTGCGGATGAGCTTCCGATTTTCATGAATAATTCATGAAATCATCCACTTGTCAGATCGTTTTGGCGGGATAAGAATCAACAAAAATTGCAACCACTGCCACTGCCCCCCTCTTGTTAAGTGCCTCAGATCAGGAAGGCCAAGTCGTTGTTCTTGGAGGCATAGCCAAAGTAGACCCCTCCGAACCTAGGCTTCAGCTGCGTTTCTTACCAGACATCGGAGGTTTTAAGCATCCAGAAATAGTTGGTTTCCGCATGGGTTGGTGCCCCAGTTTGATTATTGGTTAGCAAAGTTGGATTATTAGTTTGCTACAATTCCTGGAATTTCAGTAGGGTCTAATATTAATATTGATTACATGGCTAGATCGTGCAAAAAATGGGGTAACGTGGACCAACTTAGAACTGCAAAGCACTTTGCAGCTAGCAATGTACTGTACCCCTTTGGGTGCCTTTGGGTTATAAACACCTTTTTGGTGATGAAAAAGTGGCAAATCCACCTTTTTGGTGTGTTCTTCCCCGCACGGCGATGCTGAAGAAATAGTCCGATCAGATCTCAGCTATCCCCTGCTGAAATTCTTTGAGGCCAATATTTCTTGATTTAGAAAGCACCCATTAATTAATAGTAATTGGTAAGAATTTCTTGATTTGTTAGAATTGAGAAGAATTATGAATATGGATTGAGATGGTGACTACATATATTGTCCGGCGTAAAAATACTCTTTTTCAGGCGAAACGACATGCAACAAACCGCATGAAAAGCATACCAAAATGTTGTTGTGCGCATGGCTGCTACAATGACAAAACCATCCAATCGGGGGAGGTTCAGTGGCTTGATCTAACTTAAAATCAACACAGTTATGGCCCTTTAGCATTTATAAGTACTAAGAAAACCCCATTTATAGAATGTATAATCCCATAGAAATAACCAGTTATAACTAATAGCCATGGCCATAACTGCAGGAAGCCATGTTTTGAATGTGGGGCCCCCGTTCGATAGCTAAGTTGATGGCGAACTCCAAGAACATTGGTTAACATCGGCCTATGATTAACTGTAACTGTAATTAATTGGGTTTATAAAGCGACTTATAACTGGATGGCCACAGTTATAGCCATTTATTAGTTATAACTGGTTATTTCTATGGGATTATACCTTCTATAAATGGGGTTTCCTTAGTACTTATAACTGCTAAAGGGCCATAACTGCACATCGTTCCATCAAATTTCCCTCAAACCATCTCTGGGAAATGTGGGCCTAACAAAATCTAGGCGGCATCACTTCTTGTCCCCCAAACCTTCCATGTCAGAGGCTCTACCGCAACCATCTTTGACCCACATATCCACGCCAAAATGTAACCACTGGCAATTGGATCTTTAACTTTATTCCCCCACTTTTGATGGTTCCATACAGCCGTTGACAGATCACCAAAGACTTGTTCGTAAGGATCATTATCAGGTTGGCTTAGTAACACACAGGTTTTTCATCTCTGACTAGTATCAAGGATGGTTGGCAATCCCTTCGAACACCACAATTCAATCAGCAAGCGATGGTGAACCTTCCAAAGTTAGTGGTGCCTCATAGTTGCAAGTTAGCTCATGTTACTCCATCTAACAATCTAGCTTGTTTCATCACCAGAAACCTCAAAAATAGTCATAAAACAACTTAGCATTTTTTTCGGGCACTACCCTGATACCCATAGGATCCACGGTGCTGGTATATATACTACCATTGGGGGTACGTTGATGGGATCCATGTTACCATATATAGCAGCACCATGGATCCTATGGGATATAAAACAACTACTCCAGCCATTTCTGGGTGCCCAAAGCGCCGTTTTCAAACGGCTTCCCATGGCCTTCCAGGCTACACCTCTTGGGACCCCCGACTTTCCGGTGCCGGGCATGTGAAACGCCGAATAGCCGGGCCATAACCTCAGCGTTGGTGAAACCTCTATGATTACGAAGTTTATAGACCAGGAATCGAGTTTTATAAACCCAAGTATCATATTGAATATATATATAATGATATAAATATATTATACACATAATCCAGACGATCCCTTGTGCCCCTGTTTGTGTTTTCTGCTAAGTGGCCTTTAGAAAGAGGTCAGTTAAGGAAAACGTAGAAAGAGGTCACTTAAGGAAACGAACCAAACAGTGGCCTACCAGTGACACGCAAGTGACACGCAGGTGACACGCAGACAGCCAATCCTTAAGTGACTTTTTCAAGGCTTAAGTGACCTTTTCAGGGTCCTAAGTGACCTCGTTTCATCCCACCTCGAAACCCCAGTGACACGCAAGTGACACGCAGTGACACGCAGAAATCATGAGATCAGCTAGGCAAAGAGGTCACTTAAGGATTCATGAAACGAGGTCACTTATGCATGATTGATCTTGTAAGTGACCGTTTGGCACTTTGGAGGGCAGAAGTAACTGCCTGGTTTATATATCTACATATATATATAATGATATATGATATATGATATATATATATATGAGTGGCGGACAAAATTACTTATAGACTACCCGCAATGGACATGGCCAAAGTGGGTGGTCCCCTATCGGTTGTGAAGGTTTGGGGCCCACATTACAGGTGATTGCGCATTTCAGCTTCGACCGTCTGATTTCCTGCTCAATCAACATGTCTATATTGAGAACATATAACTAGGACACTAGCACTGATGAGTCTGTTCCCATCATTGTTGATGAACAACATGGTAAATTGTGCACTGAATATTTGTTTGACAGTCCATTTGCCCCGCTATCATTGCAACGAAAAGGAATTGTTGAACATGTCACACGTAATGCTCCAGCAACTTGGCTTTTTCAAAGAAAGGATGCGATTCCCGAGGTATAACCCCTGGTAATCTAGCGTAGTCATGAAAAATGGCAATGCTTATAGACAAATCATCTACACGTGGGTCATTTTGCTTGGTAATGCTAGATTTTCCGAGATATATTCACTTTGAATAGTACATAAAATCCTCATCATATTCCAAATCGTAGTTGGGAAAATTCGTCCTACATGTCTAAACGGAAGATGACACATCCATCAATGGTGGTTATCTATCATCAAGCTCTCCCAGGCCGTCCCAAAGTGCAGGACATCTGACACATAAAATGAAGCATGTGTCACCCCACTCAAAGCCAAGATAAATCCACAGTTCAAGCCATGGCTATTAGTTTTAACTGGTTATTTCTATGGGATTGTACCTTCTATAAATGGGGTTTTCTTAGTACTTATAACTGGTATTTTGGGCCATAACTGCAGTAAAACATGGTTCACATAATTTCCGGTAAGTCTCCAATGCTACAAAGGCCGTTTCGAATCCCAAAATGAGAAGAGTTAAGACCCGGCCCTTTCCGGCCCTTTCGACCGAGGCACAAGGAGCGCAGCGTCACGGAGGCAGTGGCAGGATCCTGCGGGTATGACTTTCCCTAAAATTTATGGGTTACCCTCTGGTAAACTAACATAGCTATTGAAAATGGCCATTTATAGTGGATTTACCCATTAAAAATTTTGATTTTCCATACTTATGTTAGTTTACCAGAGGGTATGGGTTTTACATGTATCATGTATTGACATATCCCATAGGATCCATGTATGCTATATATGGTGACATGGATCCCATCAATATACCCCAGTCATGTTAGCATATATACCATACATGGATCCTATGGGTATGTATTGATTAATTATGATTAATTTATGGAGGTTTGATACTTATCCCATGATGATCCTGACAAGAAACATGGGAATGGATAGGATTTCTGGCGATATATCCGAAAAAAATATCCGATATGGTGTGGCATGTTGGTGGTTGAGCCACCCCTCTGAATATGATTTCGGTCGGTCGGAGTTATTCTTCCCAAAGCACCAACCAAAAATGATTTCTGGGCACCAACAGACTTTGTTATACCAAACCACCAATAGATGGAAAGTCATAAAAGCCATGTTCCAAACCACCAACCAGCGATGCACTATGTACGGATTTAGGGATGGTGTGACATGTTGTTTAGATTTACACGATGGTGGCCCATAATTGCAAAGTTACTTTGGTTATCCAGCTTAACTAGGGTCTATACTATTGGAGTGATGACATAACATCACCATAACTAGATGGTGGTTTGTATACAATGCATCAATATAGTTGATGTGATATGTATTTACATGTATTTACAGTATCATTTGAAACAAATCTGACATCTCTACCCATCTGTGGGTGATTTCAATGGCTTGGTGATTTGAACGTGGAGAACATGAGCCAACTAGATGAAAGCTAGAAGGTGGTGTCCCGTAGACAAGCTGGTGTAGAACTGTAGGTTACCCTCCGGTAGTCAACCATTCATAGAGGATGTACTCGGGTTTATTGTGAAATAACTTAAGATTTGGATCTTTTGTTTGCCAACAAAACTACGGGCCAAGACTTGGTAGGTCTTTTTTTTCACAAGACAAGATTGAAACAAACAACATTTGACAACCCTTAGATGTTGTTTATCGGTTCATCCCTTTGCACTCCTCTATCAATACTGCATTTGATGATATTCTGTTGTATAATGTATATGTTTTATATATATATATACTGGATTATAAAACAAATATATATAAACATGATAGCTCCCTATTTCGTGTGACATTGGGGATTGATATCACACTAACTCTGTGGGTTCAATTCCCATCAAAGGGTAACCAGTACTGCAACTGGTCATACTACATGGTAACATGGAAAATAATCCCCTACCCTCTGTTGGGTCATGTCTTGAATGGTTTCTTGGCTATTAAACCGCATTCCCGATGACTTTGGGTGAAGTAGAGATATTGCAGACAATAGGCCATCTAAAAGTGATGAGCATGACGTTTGATAGCACGAAAAATCAGAATTTTGAAAGTTCTTGCCCCGATTATATAGTATCAAAATATGTCTTACATATAATCCATGGAACCTACCAAAAATATTCACTTAAATGACATCTTATAACATCTTATAACATTTTGTAACATCTTATGACCTCTTATGACCTCTTATGGCTGTATAACCTCTCGTAACTGGGGGTCCCGTTACGAAAACTTCTACCCACGGTCGTCCCCGGCCTGGCGCACGGCCCAACATCCTTTGGGCAGATCCGCCTCCAAGGGCTCCAGGAAATTGGCGTGGTACTCCAACTGGCGACAGGTCATGGTTGAAAAAACATGCGAAAAACACCATGGAAAAAATGGATGGAGAGTTGATTTACAATTGATTTTAACATGGCTTTACTGAAAATGACCATTTTGATAGTTATAATTTACCTATGACAAAAACATGATGGATATCACTGAGACATCCATCCCATCGGAAGTGGTGGCTTGGTGCCATAAATTCTTGAAGCCATGGCCACAGAAATCGTTGATTTAACCCCTGGTAAATTAACATAACCCTGAAAATCACAAAAAATGTTGATATGTTTTAATGGTTTCACTAGTCTTCCAACCCCTACTGTATCTGCCAGGGATCTATGTTAATTTACCAGAGGGTATCCATCAACAATGGTGAAATGAACCCATCAAACATGGTGGATTGATCCTAGGACGATCACGAGATGAAGTGTGCCATGGCGAACTGGTGAACCCTCGCTATATGATGGGTTCCCCTCTGGAAATGTGTTACATAGCGAACTGGAAAATCACCCGTTTTTGGAGAGGAAAATTCAACTATAAATGGCCAAAACCTGGATAGACGTTCAATAGCTATTTTTAATTACCAGAGGGTATAACATGTCATAAACCCAGTTACTAACACTAGGAACATCTATTAACCAGCAAACAAATGCCATGGCCCCTCGAGGTACCAACGGAAGTCTCTTCCAGTGTCTGAAAAACGGGGAATGACAGATTGACACCGTGGAGGATTATTTTGAATAATCATTTAGATAGGAATTTATCATATCATGAGCCAATAAGTTCAGGGTATAACTATACATGCAAAAATAAAGGCGCTTGATAATCAAAGGATCAATAGATTGGAATTCGAACGTCTATGATCCTGCTATTGGTTTATAAAGAAAAATCTAAGATCTATGAGATATAACTAAAACTGATATGTACAGTTAATTGACATACAAATAACATACATAGCTTTTTTTTGTGATCATTCCGCTAGGTATTTTTAAACAAAGCCCATATAGTGCATGTAATGTTGTACTTGATATACATATATATATATATATATATAGTGTGTGTATATATATATATGTAGTTTTGCAAACTAGTAAAAACACAGCCACAAACTCAATGGTTTGGTGTGCCACACATTTGCGTTTGGCAAAACCGTGTGGCATCACTTCAGACTACTCCAACTGGCAGAATGATGTCCAAGTGGTGCCATAAATGACGGGGAATGAGAGTTTCACCAACATGTGTTTGGAGATTTCATCGGATAGTGCATTGGATATATAACCAACACATAAGTAACAACAATGATATGTGGGTGTGTCTGAAATCGGTTTCTTTCTCATCTTCGGGAGACAATGAGGTTCTTAACAGTTTGGATATAGTGGTTCTTTCCATGACATTCCCACAAAAATCCCCTCTTATAAACTACCAGTTTGCGAACTTGAACATGGCCATAGAAGTAGTTGATTTAGCCAATTTTAGCCATAAACAAATGGTGGTTTTCCATCGTTTTTTTTGTACTACCCAAAAAAAGTAGCACAGTAATCGGATATATTACCTAACAAGATCTAGCAAGACAAACTTAAACTCCAGGATTTTTTCCATGACATTCCCAGAAAATTTCTGTGTTTTTGCCATGCTATGGAGATCTCTGGAGATCCCCTGCCGCACTGAGTCTCCCGGGCATCGTTTGAAGCCTGAGCCTTCAAGCTCACGACCTCACCGTGGGGATCATGGCACCAAGATGGTGAGAAAAGTCACCGTTTCTATGGTGAGGAAATGCTGATGTAATGGGATATGACATATATAAATATGGATTATATATAATGGAAAAAATCGTAAATCGGGATCCAACCATCATTGACCCCAGTCTGACATGATGATTTTCGGAATCTTGATTAGGTTGATCCTTGGTGGCTCATCCCAGTTAGTAAGTGGATTATAACCCCAGTTATAAGTGGGATATGTAGGGTTAATCTACCTATAACTGGGGTTATAAGTTGCTTACTAAGTGGGATGAGCCACCAAGTACTAAGGGTTTATTTACCAACAACCAGGCAGTGAAGCTTATTAGCAAGCCATCATTGTGGGCTTCAACTTCTGGGGTTGCTATCATCTTTGGTGACATGCATATTTATGCATACCCATTATATCCTCATGTTTGTTGGTTAAGCCACCAAACCACAAACCAGAATTTAGTGGTAATGATGATGATCTGTCATTATGAAGATGTTGAGTTCCACAAAGGATGGGTTTTGAAGCTCAAGACCTTTAAAACCAGCTTTCCGTTCCCCTTTCCAATGACTCATTGGATGTTGACCCGTCATCTTAGTCATTGGGGAGCATCATGACAAATAGGGTTGCATGACAAACAGAAACATTGATATATGACCATCAGCCAGATATTGATACTTACTGTCCCATTGACCCCAGTGATGTCCTCGTATTATTCACGGTTGATGTCCATGGCAAACTGACCCATATGGAGGTTTCCTGAAATGGGGGTGCCAAAAACAATCATCCATTTCAATAAGCTTTTCCATTGTAAACCATCCAGCTATGGGGGTAGCCCAATTTTCGGAAACCTATCATAATTGTCATTCTAACTTTCTTCTATCCTAAAATCATTGTCATTCTAACTTTCATTAATCATTGTAATAACATCACGATTTTTGGGGGTAGCCCCAAATGTCATTCTAAAAAAATCTTCACCAAGTTCGCGAAGTGATTTCTTGGGCCTCGCCCAACGGTAGGTCCTCAAAATTCACCACGCTGATCCATCGACTCTGGCGCCGGACACTGGCAGGAGGTCTGAAGTGCACGTAATTGGCCAATGAAGCGGCCTGACGTGAATGGTGGATAGAAATGGGCATTGAATGGGGATTTTAAGGGAATCTAATGATGATTGCGTGCGATTTCATAGTTCACCAATATCTAACTTTGGGATTTATGGTAGATGTAGAGACAGCTTGTTGGGTGAAATAAACTAAACAAACAAAAAAACAATTATAGTCTATAGTGAACTACAAACATATAGCTAAATATATAAACCACAGTTGGATTTACTGTGAAATAATATGAAATAAGAACACACTACTATATGTCTAGTTATAAATTTGGAGAAGATAGATTATTTGGTGATTGGATGTGATTGATGAAGTATCTACCAGCCAACTGATGAACATAAGCATGTGGGATTCTTCATTCACGTTAAGGTTTCGGCGGAGACATCATGAAATCCCCGTGCCCTAGTTACCTTAAGCCATAGCTGGCGAATGGAGAAATTTCCACCATGGGAATGATAGGTTTTGACCCATCCCGATATGTGTAAATAATATACCTCCTGGTACTGAAACGTTAAACGTGGCAATGGAAAATCCCTTGTAAATGGTGGTTTTAGTAGGAACGACATCCATAAAGAATGCATTCTGCATTGCGACGTTTGATTGCCGCATGGTATTGGCCATTGTGTTTAGCTAAAAAATCACATGACACAACTTGCCCTGAACAAGGTTTACCCAGAATCCAGAAGCAGTTCATCTACCTGATTCTGGGGTAACTGGGCTCTTAATCACTTTCGATGTGGGAGGGATATGGTACCATATTTGCTTATATTGCCCTGGGGAGGAAACATACATTGTTTTCATGATCCCCCAAATTCCTGGACTTGTATAAACGGATGGTTAATACCAAAATGAAAGGGGGTGGTAAATGTCATGTTTTGGAGCTTTGAACACTATCTTCCCATGGTTGGTGAAGTGAAGATAATGTATCCAACAATTGAATGAAGGGAGTCTATCTGTGAAAGTTTTAGACAATTGACATGGGCCTGCAATCCAATTAGTGACTGGTAAATTGCCTATGTAATGCTGGAACATATAGATATATCCCACAGATGAGTGCGTTGCACAATGTTTATCACTTCAGCAATTGGTCACATCCAAGTAGGGAAGAATCCCCAAACACTACGCTCTGGTTTTTTTACCGGGCTATGGAAACCATGGTTCATTTAGAGGATTTACCTATATCTATACTAAATTCAATATAGATAATATAGTACCATCGAAAATGGACCATATTCATGGATGATGGACCAAACAAACCTATGAAATTTATGGACCTACATTTATGGATTTATGGACGATTTTTGGATGATCATTGCCAATCTTAGATACCCTACAAGAAATATTGGCTGGTTAGTAGATATTCCATGATGTTCCATTGATACCAGAAGACTAAAGGATTAACGAACATATCCAAGGTTCACCTAGTGATGTATCGACCATTTACCCATGAAAAAATGGTGATTTTCCATAGTTTTTTTGTCATTTACAGTTGATTTACCCATGAAAAAAATGTAATTCTCCAGCTCACAAAGCTTGCACCTTGGCCGGCTCTAAGCCACCGAAGGAGCTGTTTGGCACTACTTCCTCAGCAAGCTTGCAGCTATTTAAGGGCACAGGCTACTGCAATCCAAGTGTGCCCTTGGCATACATATATATATATAATATATACAGATATCAATGTAAGATACATGTGTATATATATATAATATACATATATCAATAAAACATGCATATACATATATAATGTGAAATATATAATATGAAAATTGTATATATATATATATATATATGTTGTTTTCCTTTGTACCGAATTGCCAATCAACTCCAAACAGGAGATAAACAGTCGCTTGGATCACAAGAAACTCATGACTGTTGGGCGCGCCAATGCACAAAGCCAAACGACATGTGACAGTTGGATGAGTAGCTTGTGTCGATTACAATCCCTCCCTCTTTTGCTTCTACTTTGCTCGCTCATTCCCCGACTTCAAACTTACACTAGACTATCTAATATAGACTGTGAAATACAAAAACAAATCATGACCATCATACCATGACAGAGGTGATGCATACTTGGTGGCTCATCCCACTTAGCAAGCGACTGGATTAACCCCAGTTATAGGTAGATTAACCCTACTTATCCCACTAAAAAAACTGGGGTTATAATCCACTTACTAACTGGGATGAGCCACCAAGTAACTATGCATAACGTGCTTTACTGAATTCTTCCTCGCCTGCGCCTCGGTCAAGCAATGAGCGCCTGCCAGCGGTGCTTTACGATAGTTAACTCATCAACCAGGACGGTGATTGAAATCAACTGAAATCAACCAAACTAGGTACCCTCTGGTAAACTAACATGGCTATTAAACAAATATGTATATATATATATATGTATATAGTTTATTTATGTTTGTTTACCCATAAACAAATGGTGATTTCCCAGTTCGTTTTTTTTGTAAACGTTTACCCAGAGGCTACATGTCGAGATCTAATCCGACGGATCTGGATGTGAACTGATAGGGTCATCCCGAATCGGACAGATGAACTTAGCTGGTTGGTGGTTTTTCGCCCCTCTGAAAAATATGAAATTCAATGAGAAGGATTATCCCATATATTATGGAAAAGTATAGGGGAAAAAAAGAATAAAATATGGGAAACGTATTGTTATTTTTTCTATCAGATGAAAGTCAGTTAGGATGATGACATTCCGAATATGATGGGAAAAATAAAATTCAAGTTCCAAACCACCAACCAGATTTATGACTTATGGCTCAAAATCAAACCACCAAGCAACGTATATACCGGAAGCTGGTGTTGTAACTTAGAGCTGGGATGGTTATCTCAACATATCCCATGGTTATCCACATCAATCCCAATATATCGCAATACAGCCAAAAAAGAATCCCAGTAACATCCCAATGTATGCCAATAATTCGGTATATGTATATATATATATAAGCATTTTATGCGCTATTAGTAGCTTTTATACGTTATTAGTAGACACGCTATATATATATATTACAGTATATATAGTAGCTTTTTTTTTACGTTATTAGTAGTAGTTGTTGTTTTTTTTTGAATACGCTAATAGAAGACACGCGTTATATGTATATATATACACATAGATATATACATATATAAATATACATATATATATACATACATATATATATATATATGTATATATATATATATATATGTATACATATTATATATATATATATTTTTTTTATAGTATAGTATATATATTATATTGTATATATTAATTCATTGATTTTATAGCTGGGATATATTGGGAAATACTCCAGCTACAGTAGAAAAAACATCATCCCCAAGCTCAGCAACTTGTGGTGCCCACCTGATGAAGTAGTCATCTCATTACCCTGAACCCAAGACATAATTAAGTGATAAGTTAACTTAGCTATACATATATATATATATAAATATTATATAGATGGTTGAACCAACTGTAGTTGTTTCATCATCATCATAAATACTGAAACATTGGTGACCTAAACCAACCTGTCTAAATCCGAACGGGGGTGCCACCTTTTCAAATGCAACCAATCGAAGCCGCGGTGATTTGCAGATTCCAATGGCTTGGATGAGCATACTGCATAGACATCTTCATAGATGTTCATAGCAATCATTAGCGTAGTGCCCAGTCATGATCCACTCAAAACTTCCAGAATCATCCCTGGTGTAATTCAAACATTTCTATACATAGATCAACCAAGATAGCCTCTAAGCTGGCAGTGGAACACAGTGATTCACAGATTCATATCCCACAAAGCCATGTAACTCATCGCTATGAAAGCCTTCTCGCCACCATGTTGTCATCTACAAGGCTTCCCTTTGCTCGCAAACACCCCCATTCTTCCCCCGATTTGTGACCTTTGGGCACGCAGGCCGTATCGAAATCAATCTCCTCGACATTTGGGCACGATCTTAGAGGTGTTGTGGGGATCTCCGCGTGCAAAAAGGGAGGCATTTAGGCGTTTATTCAAAGTTCTGCCTGTGTGTGGTTCCTCAGCAACATGCTGTTGCCTTGGTGAACGTTATCCCCTGGTAATTCAACAGTTTGCTATTGAAAATGGCCATAGAAATAGTTGATTTTCCCATTAAACATAGTGATTTTCCATAGCTATGTAAACGTTTACCAGAGGGTATCCAAGCTGGCAATGAGCTTTTGATGTTTTAGAGCGGTTTACTCAGCAGTGTGGAGACCGTTTACTCTGCATATCGCTTATCCGCATGGTCGATCTGAGCAGTTGTTTTCTGGTCACTATGGGTCAAACATCAAAAACATGTGAACATAATAGACTATTTGATGGGATAATGTACCTAAGAATACCTAACATGGCACGTGTTCATTTGCTGTGTGGCTGATACACACATATATATATATATAGTACACTATATATATGATAAGATTCCCTGCAGCTGCTGGTTTCAAGTCATCAAAATTGCATCAAAGTCATTGAGCATCAACTCAAAGATCTCACATTGACATAGACCTCAGCTGTATAGATAGACCTCCGCTGTTCCTGGTTGTACCCAAGTCGTTAGATGTGTTTAAAGGGTTAATTAGCCAATACTCAATGATTGAAATTCATGTTATAGGCGGTGCAGGGGGTAGTTTGCGAAGAGTGCCTACGCGAAGCTTACGCGAAGCCTATGCTGCAAAGGTAGCCTACGTGGAGGACTCCGCTGTAAAAAAAAAACAGCCCAGCTCATATCAATAATATGGATGCTAGCTCAATAATTGGAGGCTAACTATTTGGTGGATGCTTCCATTTGAGTAGGTTGTTCCATTAAAAACCATCCATTTTGGGGTACCCCCATGACTATGGAAACCCCCTCCAGCATCCTGCACCAGTAAGGCCAAGCGTTGAAGCTCGTTCAATGTGGCCTCGGCCGTTCAGCCCAATCTGGGCTCAACTCGTTTTGGGTGGGTTCCTGTGGAACTTCTTTTGGTGATCCTTGTAAGCCGGAAACAGAACAAAGTATCGAAGTATGAGCGCATGAGTGAAAAAATAATGGATACAAACACAGATCATGTGAACAAAAATAACTGTGTTTCTAACTTGTATATATACTAGTAAGTTGGTATATATAATCAAGGAAATCTGTGGGGTAGGGGCCAAGAGCAAAGACCCTCGAATCCACAACTTGATAAAACCAGTGGAGTATCTGGGGATTCATGACAAAGAGCCTTTGATCAATCTTAAATGTAGTTTGCCAGCGGAAACCTACTGTCAGGATATCCTGATTGGGAGGTAAACAATTGGTCATATTCCGAACAACTATTCATGTACATACATATATAATATTGTATAGATCTGTCCAAAACCATGGGCGTTGTTTGATTGCAGGATGATCCAATGTGAAGTCAATGTTCCACATCCAATGTTCTATTTAACATTCAATCTTTTCTATGAAAAAATAGCGTAAGTCAATGTATATACCATAACTTGATATCCCATAGGATCCATGTATGGTATATATGCTAACATTTGGGGTATATTGATGGTAAATGTCACCATATATAGCATACATAGATCACTTGCATACCTCGAACACCACGGGACCCGGTGGGAAAATTCGGTCGTTCAAACGACCTCAACTCCAGCGTTTTTCCAGCTGAGCCGTCGGACTTGACTTTCGGAACCTGGCTCGCGTCATCTCCCTGGAAAAGACACGCATACCCTCTGGTTATGTCAAAATAGCTATTGAAACTTGCCATTTATAGTGAGTTTTCCCATTAATAGCATGGTGGTTTTCCATAGTTATGTGGCTGTTTACAGTACCAGAGGGTATTACGTGAGTTTCAGGGAGATGACAAGAGTATAGATTCAGGGATATACATGAGATATTTCCGTATGGGTATGGTTGAAAAGTCTACATGAGTTGCATCAGATTCAACCATACCTGGGGATATCCAACGATGGACAGGTCCCCACAACAGAGATCTGGTCAAGGTCACCTGCTCAATCTGGTGGTATATAATCTATAGTATTCCAATTGGGGATACTAACCATTATATACATGTATATACATGTATATATATATTGTATACATATATGTATATATGTATAGAGTATAGAGTATAGAAATATCATGAGATGTCTATGTGTATATATATATATATATTATATGGTTTGTTTCACATGGTTATTTCAAGTCCTATTGCGCAATGTGGTGCCCCAGCTGGGAACTGCCTTTGTTGGTTCACTTTATGAACCAAAAAGTGGGGCTTATGGTGATTATTACGACTATGGTTAGATGGGGTAAGACACACCAACGTATGCTCACCATAAATATCCATAAACCCTATAGTTATCTTGGCTGTAAACCAACATAAACCAATTTAGCAATTCCGAACTCTGGGCCCACCTAGTATATCGCAATTCAAAACAAAGATTTCACCAAGAGTTTCTATGCGCTAGTTGGGATGCAGTCTTGGCTCCCAGACCTTCCACTGTCTCGAGCATGGCAGTGGGCTTGCCCGTCAGTGGGCTTGTCTTGCGGCTCGCGCAGGTCGGAGACCGCCCCCGTGGCTGGTTTAAGGGCAGGGGCAGTTAAGCAACAACCACTCATTAGGCGAATCTTCTTGTAGACACTGCATGCTCAAACATGTTCCCACCTGATGCACAGCGTGATATGAGGACCACATGTTTACTGAACAGAAAAATTGAAACTCCTCTGACTGTGACTTATGGTACCTTGCATTTTTTGAACATCGATCCACATCAGAGTTGTTCCCAACACCCCAGATACTATAGGGGTGTATGTAAATTGATGTTTAAACAAATGCATAAAATCACCAGTCAGTTTCCAACCCTTTGTGGCAATCATGTACCTACAATAGGCTCCAGCGCATCCGGAGCATCCGCACGTGCAAAATATTCCATGGCCTTTTCGGGATATCTTTGGACGACTTCCGGCAGAAAAATGATGGAGTGAAAGTCAGTTGGGATGATGACAGTCCCTATATATGGAAAAAATGTTCCAAACCACCAATGACCAACCAGTATGTATATGTATATATATATATATATATGTATATATATGTATATATATATGTATATATATATATATATATGTATCCCCCATCGAATTTTAGGGGAGACGTTGTGACCCCTGGTCTGTAAGGCATAAAAAAGATTCACAAGCTTGGGGCTATAGAATGAGGTTGCTGAGCTCCATTTTTCTCGAAAATAGCCTTAGCTACAAAATGCCCCTTCGTTTCAACAACCTTGACATAGGGGGAGGTTTTCCCTTGTTACAAAATGCCCCTTCGATTTCAACAACTGTATCATACAAGGACATACCCTTTGCTGCAAAATGCCAATCTCATTTTCAAGGACTGCATATGCAAAGGAACATCGTTGCTACAAAATGCAACGTTGTTTTCAACATCATCCACCAAGATTCATCAAGCATCATCATTCATCACAGATCAATATAGATCAATACAGATCAATACAGATCATGCATATTCATGCATCATCATGCAGAATTGTTCTGTTTGAATCTGCTTGGTCCTTTTCATTGTATTGCGGCAGCTCTGCAACGGATTGCTTGAACCACATCTAAGCTACAAAAGGCCCGTTTGATTTTTATAAGCCAGTATGAAGCTCATCATGTCATGCTACAAAATGCCACTGCGGTTTTCATGATGGGCTAACATGACTAAAATGACTCCTTTATAAAATGATATTCACAAGTTTAAGCTACAAAATCTTGGACCTGGATTTCATCTCAGGGTTAGCCTGACTAAAATGGAAGCCTCTGTATAGTGCTTGTGGCCACCAACTCTGTAGCTTGAATTTGCTGGGGGATATATATGTATATATTTATACATATGTATATATATATATATGTATGAAGATCAACATGATGCATTGTCTCGAGTCTCGATGCATTGTAGCCATGTTGACCATGCATCCAAGCGACCAATTGGAGTCCCTGCACTGCTTCACCAACCTAGGGATGCTGATTTGGCAGGAAGTTTAAATGGAGACGAGGTGATACCCCTAAACGTTATGTTTGTTGGCTTATGCTACCCCATCTAACTGTCGTTGTTTCATCAACATGAATCTTCGTTAATCTAGCTATACACCAAACTAGCTAACTTTGGGGCACTACCTTGCAGTAATCAAAACTATGACGCCTCCGTCTATATCTGCCGTTATCATATTAGAGAGCTAGGTTCCAGACCTACGAATTGCTATGTGTGGGGAACGTTTATCTGAGGGATTCAAATTTGGCTATGGAGTTGATCTACAAATTTCATGTACCCTCTGGTAAACAAACATAGCTATTGAATATGGCCATTTATAGTTGATTTACCTATTAAAAATGGAGATTTCCTATTAGAAATGGTGATTTTCCAGTTCGTTTTTTGTACGTTTACCAGGCCGGGTAGATGTTAAATCGCCACATTGGTGGACAGGATACCCCGAAATCACCTCTTGGATGACTTTTTTCCTGAGACGGTTTAATGTGGATATTTTGTCTGTTGTAAAATAAAAAAACAAATAAAACAAACCTGGTTGGTGGTTTTAACATGTTTTAACCATCTTGAAACATGATGGAGTTCGTCAATGGGAAGGATGACATCCATGATTATCCCATATATGAAATGGAACATTAAATTTCATGTGTGAAACCACCAACCAGCCATACTTATTACTTCATTGCCCATTGATATTCCATATGATACACCCATAACCAGAAACTTTTGTTTTGGATTCCATATTGATGAATTGATGAATCTCCCCGTACATGAGTGAACCATCGGACCATCGGTCTCTTAAACCATCCATGTCTGGGAAAGTCAAGTAGTCACCTCCATCATTACAGTAATAGTTTCCCCGAAATACCAACAAAGTGCAACTGTTACACTGTTACAGTAAAAAAACATCCCCGAAATACCGGGGGAACACAACATGGACTCCTTGATTTAGCTCGGAACATGTTCATTTTGTGCGCCGGAGGCAAGGTTTACCAACAGGTGGAGGGATTCGCCAGCCTCCTCAGTCAATTCAGGCAATGGCGTGAAATTGAAATCCTGGCGGCGGCGCGGTAGCCCCAAATCCATCGGTTAGTCACCGTTTTTTGTATCAGTGACTCTCTGGGGGTATATATCCCGTTTTCAGACCCAAATATATAAGTAGAAAAAAACATGAAAAGTGAATCTATATGAATTGATGACGTAATCATCTACAACATCCTGGAAAGCACTCCTATCATCTCCTATTAATTTGATCTTGGGGGTTCCTATGCAGTTCCAAGACAATGCTGGCCTCGGTACCGGTTTCATCCCGTAGACTTTCCAAAATCACAACTCTGTGTGGCTCAAGGGGTGTTTCCTAAAATGGGTCCCCAAGTCACCATAGGTTTCAGCACTAAAATGGATTAAACATATTTAAAATGGTCCAATGACTTAAGGATGATTTGGGGGTACTCCCCTGTTGGGAAACCTCCACAGAAGCCAAAAGTCTTTTGGTTCATCACCATTCCCCGCATTATCCCGACCTAAGACAACCCCATATGTTGTTTATTTGGTGCAGTTGTGGCCCTTTACCAGTTATAAGTACTTATAACCCCATTTATAGAATGTATAATCCATTATAATCCCATTTATAACCAGTTATAACTAATAAATGGCCATAACTGTTGTTTATTTGGTGGATCAATTCTTGACACCTTAGGACCTTGATCCTTGTCCTCCCCGGCATAGTAGAAGCACTTCGCCGGGTACATGTCTTTGGATGCAGCAATCGCACACCTGACGGCTCACCGCTGCAAGGTGGTGCTCCAGTTCGGAACTCGCCCATGGGCCCTGGTGAACGAAATCGCTAAGTAAGTGGGTGAAGATAACTCCAATTTCATCCAACTTCACTATGGTTCTAATGATGCTTAACACTATAGCTATATCTGGGGTGTATAAACCAACCATGGGTCTTATGATACGCAAATAACGAGAGTCCATGGGAGTTATAAACAAACCTACAACCGGGAATCCCTACAGGATGACCAACTGGGCCAACTGGACCTGGACCAGTTTCCTGTCCCCATTTTGTGCGTTGCCAAAGACGTGTACCCTCCGGTGTCATCAAACTTGGCACTGGGAAATCCTCTATACATGGAGGTTCACTCACGAGTTTATCATCTATAAATGTTGGATGTTCCATGGTTGTGAAGGGCATCCCCAATAAATCCAGCCGTTAGCCTCTTGTTACATCGTTTGGGCTCCCTTTCCTTCCTATATCATCATGTTCCCCATGACATTTGCTCTGGGAATACTCCGCTGGGTCGATCATCTTGACCATGGATCGACTAGATTGACATAGACCACTGGTTAAACGGTTAATCCACGAATGTAAACCCAATGTATATATATAAGATTATATATATATAAGACACCTATACCCTTGTGGCTTCTTTTTAAACCACACATATATAGCAAGTTGGGATGTTTTGTGACTGGCTTTACCACACGAAGAATCTCTTCACCAGCAAGGGCCCTGCTATAGCCCTTACAACGGAGACGTGTCTTAGTGGACGAGCGACGCAATGTAGTAGTCGGACTCCTAGCAGGCGCCCCCGATGGCCACGAAATCGCTTAGCTGGGGGCCACAGAACTCCAATCACTAAGTCACCAACAGTTATGGCCGTTTACCAGTTATAAGTACTTATAACCCCATTTATAGAAGGTATAATCCCATTTATAACCAGTTATAACTAATAAATGGCCATAACTGAAATGGTTTATGAATGTTTATGATACCAATAACGAACTAGTTCATGAAGGTCATTAAATAACTAATCACTGGGGGGACATTCTGGGTTTGTCAGGGTATATAACAAACAACATGGGGATATATGGGGATACAATAGGACCATTTATGGAATATATATATGTATATATATATATATTGGCGTGTCTGAAAAATGAGTGGATACCCATAAATAACAGTTTGCATGGGGGGAAAATGAATGAACATGATGATTAACCATCACATTTTGGGATATCGTATTTCAGACAAACCCATATGGAAGAACTGTCCATAGTTGGAGAACTGCCCATTCAGTGTTTTCGTCTGCTTCCGGGTGTGCTGCTGGATCGAGTCAGGGACGCCAAATCGGGGTCCAAACAACCGAGTGCTACAACTCTGCACTTGGCCTTGAGTTGGCCTTGGCCACATTTTTATCTCTGTATCCGGCTCTGGAGTGCAAACAACGCTTCTTCTTGATCCTTTCCTACAAGATGCGTTGGGCTTCTTCCTTGTTCAGCGGAGATATGAAATCATATGAATGTGATCTCCAAGATACCCATCTCAATTTTCAGGACACTTTTATCATCCAGCATAGATGGCTTCTCTTTGCAGAGAACCCAGGCCGCTGCCTTTGGAGTTTTGAGGCGACAGCAACATGTTCTCCACGCCTCCGTAAATACTTCTGGGATTTTTCGTGGCGCCGGTGCTTGGAAAATGGGAGTGTGAGTTGGAGTTCACATGTTCTCAAATAGGGATAGATAGAACATCAAGAAACAATGGGAAAACAAAACCTACCAATAACTGATGACATACATCGACTCAAAAACTGGTCCACAAAGCCAACAATCTTGAGAAGAATGAGAAACCAATCGATTTAATCGATTTTTCGTACACAAAACAAACCTAAACATACCTAAACATACCTAAACATACTCCTAAACATACCTAAACATACCCCTAAACATACCTAAACATACTCCTAAACAAACCTAAACATACCTAAACATATCTATATGGCAGTGTGTCAAAACCTGGTACCCCTGGTGAACATCAAAATAGCTGGTAAATGGATGTTCATCCCACTAAAAATGGTATTAATAGGTATTGATCCATACCCATATAAACAAACCTAAACATAGCTATCCCAGTCCCCACCAATTTCAAAGACGCTCCTTGCCCAGGATTTTGCCCCAGAAGGAAACGGCCTTGCCGCAAGGTTGCACCGCTGGGCGACTTAGAAAGGCGACTTAGAACGGCCATCTTTAGACCCTGCATGTACCGAATATTAAAACATACCCATAGGATCCATGGTGCTGGTATATATGCTAACATTTGGGGTATATTGATGGTAAATGTTACACCCCAAGTCCTTGCAATGTTTGCGTTTGACAGCTATTCCCAATCAAAACGCTCGCCACGACCCCTGTCCCGGCACAGACCTTGCAAAACCCCTTTCCCCATTGGAAACGCTAGCTTTAACAAGCTTTGACCAAACTATCATGGTTCTATTATGTTCTATTCGTTTTTGATCGAATCCCATCGGAACGCCGGTTTCCAACGGGCCTTTTTTCGTGGGCACTGTTGACGCCCACAAACAAAAACGCGAAGCAGGCCCTTTTCCTAGTTTGTATACTGCAGGATGGGTTCTGATAAAGGAAAAAAACGAGGTCCAAAACGAGGTCCAAAACGAGGTACGGAAAAAGCCCCGCATCTACACACATGGACTTTGGCCCGCAAGCCGCAAACCTGCCCTTCCTTGGATCACTGGTAGCGAAACAATGACAATTTGCAGAATCCCAGCACACCGCCATGGCAGTGTAGAGATGATAATCCCAGCGTTGTGTAGAAGTACCCGGAAACAGCAACAGCAGCAGCCGTCGAACCAGCAGCCGCAGCAACAGCAAGACGCCAGTAGCTGCAGAACCCAACAGCAACCATCCCAAACACAATGAGAACGCAACTAGCAAGATTAAAGCACTATGCTAATAGTAAAACAACGCCCTACCCCAAACACAACCTAAACGCCGCTTCGCCACTTTAGGTCTACATGAGATAGTAAGACAGCAACCTACCCTAAACACAAGCTAAACGCCGCATCGCCACGACTTCCACAAAAGCCTTCCCCCAAGCTAATTTCAAGATTTTTGGGATTTCGCCACGACTTGGGCAGTTGGGAGTAGCATATATACCATACATGGATCCTATGGGATATAGTAAACATAGTCATGATATATTAGTACATTGATAATCATTGATAGTGATATATTAGGTTTCAATATTAGTAAATAACTAATATTGAAATTTCAATAGTCACTATCATGATATATCTACCACAAACCATAGTCATCCATAGTCATTATAACCATTACATATCATTACTACATGATGGGGCCCCCCAGTTATGTTTGTTGGTTTATAACACCATCTAAATACAGCTATGGCTATAAGTATCATACACTATATTGTTATAGTTCGAAACCAACTTAGCTAACTATGGGGCCCCAACCTGTAATATTGAAACATATTGAAACATTGGGAAATATTGGGAAATCAGGGAAAATATATTGACTATGGACTTTAGCCATGTTTTGTGTGTACTTGGAGGGTCTAAGTAGCAATGAAGACAAAAAAAAAGGTTGACAAGGAACCGTCTGCCTTAGGATTGAAGAACTCGGAATTTGCCAGGGAGCAGCTGGCTGTTCATCCCTGGGGTCCTATGTTTGCAGGGTAAATGCCAAGCTGTCGCGATTTCCTTCACTGATCTTCACTGGCTTCACAACCCCACCTTCCCCTTCTCGTTGGCTTTCAGCAGCATCAATCCAGCCTTCGGCAGAGGCGATCACCAGCAAATCTGTGTACGTTGATTCGTTCTTTGGGCGTCTGCAAATCAGGAATTTACCCCTTCAAAATTTTCAAATTTTCAGTATCTTAATGGGAAAACATGGGAAATATATCAGATGATTCCAGCCATCAAATTTGGGACAAGCCCCATTGTCAGACAAACCCGCACTTCACGATGACATATTGGAATTGAACCAAACACACGAGGTTGTGGAATGCCAAAATCAGGATTTCACCAACAGAAATCAGTGGCCAGGAACCCATAATTTTGCAGGTACCTACCATATGTACTGTTTAAAAGGTCCATTTCTTGGGGTATGCACGGGGATATGACCAAGTTCTATGGCTTTGGTACAGTGGAATCCTACCCCAGCCGCGAGTCCCGCAGCAAGGTCAGGATTTTAACATTCGCTGCTGAAAACTCCTCATGTTTCATATTAGTTGCTTTAAATATCTCTAAAATTTTACAAATCATCATCAATTCCAAATATTCTTAGGCCAGACTTGTCTCATCTTGTTCCTGCTAGTTCAATGAACAAAATAAGATGAAGAACATATATATATATAGACATATAGTATTTTACTACTTATTTGATATATCGTAAAATTACATTATATTTATGTGCTATTTGGGTTTGTCTGAAAATATGGTACAATTTCCCCAATATGGCCATTTCATGCCAGGGATGACCGTTATTGCATAGTGAAAATATTACTGGAATCCATATAATGGAATATTTTCAGACAAACCTAGGTACGCATTCAATATCATTCATCAGAATTTCTGAGCTATAATAGGCTATACTATCTATACTTCAATCTCCATTTTGTTTCCTCACATTTCGTGAAAATTTCCTCTGAACTCCTGGGATTTCTGGGAGTTCGTCCTTGAGGCGGCACAGCTCTTCGCAGCTCAAGACATTCCCTGCGGAGCTCAGGGAACGAAGGCCCTCCTGGTGCGAAAAAAAACGCGTGGGGACCTGGACTTGGAGGTACTTGGAGGTGGCCCCACTTAGTACCCTCTGGTAAACTAACATAACTATGGAAAATCACAATTTTTTATGGGAAAACTCACTATAAATGGCAATTTTCAATAGCTATGTTAAATTACCAAAGGGTAAGTTGTTTTCTGGTTGGTGGTTGGAACCCTCTTGAAAAATATTAGTCAATGGGACGGTTTATCCCATATATGAAATGGAAAATAAAATTCATGTGTGAAACCACCAACCACCATATATGGAGGTTTCCTAAGTCATAGGGGTACCCCAGAAATCATTCATTTTAAATATGTTAGATTGGATGTTTTTTTTTTTACCATACAGCTATGGGGGTACCCCCATTTCAGGAAACCTCCATATGACTTATATAACCTACATTTCAGCCCATAGGGAATATTGCACTAATCTAACGAGGGGTATAACCCATCCCAAGGATGGGTGCAGTTGGGGTGCAGTTGGGGTTATTTTCATTGGCACAGCTATGGTAATCATCTCGTTAAGTTGGGATAACATGATCCCTATGGTTATCCAACATAGCTATGGTATAGGTAAGCATAGATAAGCCATCAAACATAGATGATGTGAAAAATCATATGGATTTACCATATGATTTACCTAAAACTGGGGATTTTCCTGTGAATTTCCGGTTGTTTAAACCAAATCACTCCATTCCCGTCGGCAGCGTTCCCGTCGTCCTCCAAGTCCATGGCGGCCACACCCACCATGGCGACACCGTCAGCAGCGTCAGCTTTGCTGAGACTCGCCCCGAGCCAAGGAGCAGAACGGAGAGAGGGTCGGGTGGATTTTTGGGGGTCGGTTGAATGGGGATGGTCGAAATTTTCTCTGGATGAAATGGGTGGATTTTTGGGTTGGTTGAATGGGAGATTCTCGAAAATGGAGGACATGTTGTTACTCTTTTGGAGGTCAAGATGCTTTTTTTTCAAGACATGAACCATGTTGAAATAACTTGTTGAGGTTGGAGGGAGATTTTGTATCTTGGACACCTTGTAGTTTTCTGACAAAATCGGCATTGTCTCCAAAACATATATCAACCTACTCAACCAAGGTTTAGCAAGATTTGGATTGATCATTGTCCAAAGTTCCCCATGCATCTTAATTAATGTTGTTGTGGTTTCAAAGCTCAACACCATGGAACATTTTGGACAGTTGACATATGTTCATCAACAAGCTAACTAGAGTAAAACTTGGGAGCACGGATCTTACCATCACTTAACTCTTTGAAGAACAAGCGTGTCCTTCGTCCTTCCGTAGCGCTGGCATTACGCTGGTACCCAATTCACCTATATAACATGTGGCAGCACTATGGATTGTGAGCCTTTGTACTGTTCGGTTGATAGGGATTTTAATAATGGGTCACAATAACCTCCAATAAACTGCTGGTTGGTTGTTGAGCCACCCCTCTGAAAAATATGAAAGTCAATGGGACGGATGACATCCCATATATGAAATGGAAAATAAAAATCATGTTTGAAACCACCAACCAGACTGGGTAGGTACTATAACCCGGATCCTTGGAGAGTAACCTTTCCCATCCTTTCCCCTTCCGGTCATTGCAGGTACAGGAATACCACAAAATAGACATGTTGATTTCATTGCAGAAAGGTCATGATTTCTTACAATGTGGTGCCCTGGATATGAGCTTACTGTAACTAAATTTACGTAGACTATGTAGCACAACCTTGTCATAACAGCTGAAACTCATTAGTGACACCACCATGAAATTTCTGTTTGGAATCAGAACTTCAGATGGCGGCCGTAGCCTTTTTATCCTTTTCCACACAAGCGCGATTCGACCATTTCTTCTCGGTTTCTGAAAGTTGGAGTGCGGTCGTTTTCGCCTAACTTCTAGCACTCACGAGGTGGTGCCAGTTACGTAATCTTTCTTGGTTTGTGATGGTTTGTGTTCACCCCGTCAACTAGTTCTACTATAAGCCCTAGTGAAGTTTGTTTATAAAACAACCTTGCTAACCAAAATGGACACAACCTTGTAACACACCGAAATCAGAAAGATGGGATTTGGAACATTTTGTGCCACTTTGGCTCCAGAGATTTCGGAGGGCTCTTCCACATCGGAGCCCATCTGTGCTATCCAGGAGACCGGGATATGTTGGGATCTTTAAAAACCGACATGCCGTTCAATTTCAACTAAACATCACTGAACGGGAACCCAAGTTTAATCATGAAAATCATGAAAGCACTGGATTGGTTGGTTGTATCTGGTGTATCACCATTACTGAAATGCTGTTGTCCTGTGACTATCCATGTGTATCTGTGTTTTTCTTTCAATCAGGATGGCATTGTGGAACGGATAGGAATCTCATATCTTCAATTCTGTTGGTATAGCTCTACGAATTGTGATGGAAACAACACCCAACTTTCAGGAAAACACCGTCTACATCCTGGACCTACGCAGGCAGTCCTTTGTCCAAAGCCAGATGACTAGATCATATGGTGGACCATGGTTGAGGAAACACAAATTATACTGGAAAATAATAGTTGAAAAGCAGGCAGTACTACATAGTACTGGGAGCACATTGTTTTTTGTCCAACTAATCGTACCAGAACAGGTTGCAGCAACATTACCACATCAGAAAACAGAATCCGAATTTTCACTTCTTTCAACTTCCAGTTTTTGGTAGGACCAGTGGGCCATATGGGCCATGCGGCCACTAGCTGGCACTCAGCTCAATTGCGATGGTGGGCTGGAATTTGATCACTGGCGATCAAATCAAAGGGGCACAGTCGGTGGTTAATCCAAGAATGTGGGTAACACAATGCCATAAACCAATATAAACCACCCATCTGGGAATGGTTTATACCATTTTATACCACCTATATATTTATGGTGATTTTTGGGTGATGTGTTCTTTTATTTGACCCACATGAAAATGAGGATATGCATCCTAGATTTAGAAGTTGATAGCCTATCATGGTTGGCCTAAGATTGGCTAATGCAACCAACAAGCATGCAGAATCGGGATATCAAAGCAAATTTTAGATATGCTGCAACACAAACAAAACGAGCTGGTTACGGTTGGAATACATCCACGTTTGCGCATTTGTTTTCAAACACGAAAACTGAACTACTCATCCAAAATTCTTCCAGATATTGTGGAATAATGTAGCTGCAGCAACATTTAAGAACTTGGATAGCATTTTAATGCTATAAGATATTCATAGATATCCAGCATCCACGTCAGGTTTTTCTTATGACCGCAGTACCATGTACCAATCCACAGGAAGGAGTCAGCAGAGCCAGTTCTTATTGAGTTGACTACACCCACGACCAATCTGAATCAACAAATATGGGGCAGAAAAAAAATTCTAGGTAAGCAACAGCAAAAATATATACTATGAAAGTATTATATCAATGTAAATATATATATATATACATACTGTAATACATATTATTGTGGATGCCAACAAATCGTTGTACAGTCAGCCGTCAGAAATATGAAACAACCGTTTCACTCCAACCACGTGCCGCCCCCAGCAGCCCCTTCCGGCATGGCGGGTGGGGCTGGTCGTTATACACGTCGATGACTTTGCCGTCGTTGTGAATGCCGAAGGCCACCTTTGTCGTCGAATGCTGCGTTTTTGTGTCTTTCCGGAGGGTCCAGCAAAACGGTTGCAATGAAGTCAGGAGTTGCCTTAAACAAAATAGATACCACACTGGAAACGTATAAAACAATGTGATACAATGTGCACTTCAACAAGAAATCGAGATCAATCGAGTAACGTCAACCCTGGATCAAAAAAAACATCAAATCATGAGTATCGGGGGAATACACCCCTCATGAAAATAAACCATGGTTGACATTATATGACATTATCCCATGACATCCTCAAAAAATATCCCATATGGTTGACATATTGTGACTATTTTGGGGGGATACTATGGGATATTATGGGATATTAAGGCACAATATGTCAACCATGGGCACAATATGTCAACAATTAAGGCATAATATCCCATTTATAGAATGTATAATCCCATTTATAACCAGTTATAACTAATAGCCATGGCCATAACTGTACTAAACCCTGGTGCCAGATCTTCCCAAATCAAGGCCCAGCGTGGCGCCTCGTTGGGGTTGTTCGTTGGCCCAACCTGGCGCTTGGACAAAAAAACCATGGGGATGACCTACCATGGCCTACATGGCGCTTCACAGATGTTCATAGCGTGATCAATGGCATAAATGGCAAAGCGAAAAAAAACATGACATAGAATGGGTTATCCTATGATATATCATATAATATATATCATACATCATGCGTCATCATATATCATACCTCGTTACATGATGTATCATATTATATATATAAATATATATATATATAAACATATATAATATGATACATCATGTAACGAGGTATGATATATGATGACGCATATATATATATATATGGATATCAGATATCATATGGTATTCATATATCATATATCAGATATCATATATCAACAACCATATATCATTTATGCATTTATGGTATTACCCCTGAAAAAACCTCCCGCTGGTTGTGGCTCGGTTTAGGGAGAATCTTAACCACAAATAGAGAATTCCCATGGGCTTTAATACATGCAGCATACAGATTATATTCAATGGGAATTCAGGTTCCTAAAAATATAGGCCTCATATATATGGTAGGTACCTCCAATAAATTGGTTCCTGAGATGGCCAGCGATATATAGCCCAATGATGTCCAATGTTTCATGGGGTAACCCAACTTTAGGAATCACCCATTTGAAGAAACTGAAACTACCCGACTTCATCTTTCAGCGCGGACTGACCATACGCCCAGCATTGTTCGAAGTGAACATGCATAGGAAATCCTGGCAAATTTGATTGGCAAAAAACACGGTTTCTCTCCCTGACTCTTCGTGGTTCCTCGCACCATTTGGCTGTTTCGGGGAAAAAAACAGGTACAATGTGGGGCCCCCCAGTTATAAGTTGGTTTATAAGCCCCAGTAACTATAGTTATAAGTACCATAAACCATAGTTATTGGAGTTATAAACCAACTTAGCTATCTTGGGGGCCCCACATTGTACCATTCATTATCAGCTGTCTCCCCAAGAAAATGGCAACTCTTCGAAATCGCTTTTTTCGGCTCCGCCCTCGAGAATCTGCCATAACAAGGTGAATTGATAAATTGATGATGGGTAATTACCATTAAGTATGACCATCAACAAATCCTTTTTTTTTGATGTTTAAATCCGTTAAGTAAAGACATCTACCACATTAATAAAAAAAATATCTCATTGTCACAAAAATGTCCCTATTGTTGATGTTTAAATCCTCTTTGAATCCCTATTGCAATCTTCTACTACTTGAAATCCCTATTATAATATATTATAATCCATATAATTCCACTATTTCATTCATCACTGCTGTCGCTTTAAGATGCTTTTCAAAAGTGGTTCCAATTCTGGACCCTTCATCCGAAAAAATGCTCAGTGGATCCAACGACTGATTTCCCCCCTGGTGGATCCCTGGTAGTGTTCAAAACCCATGACGGATCCATGGTGCTGGTAGAAAAATGCTAACATGACTGGGGTATATTGATGGTAAATGTTAGCATATCTAGATATATCTAGCATACATGGATCCTATGGGAAAGCAATGTCAAGCCATTGAATCCTGGGCTCAGTGTTAAGAACGGGACTCTCCGATTCTCCGTTCATGG